AGTTTTTTTCTTACCATTTTTTTTAATATTCTAATAATAAAAATGAGAATGCTTCTTGTTTATTTTAAATTTTAGGCCGATAAGGTTTTAATCCAAATGACCTCACTACATTTTTTTATAGTAAAACTAGAGCACCCAAGTTTAAAAGTCGACCATATAACTTTCCACTAAGCATTCTACAAGCTAGTAAAAGTCGCTTGGATTACGCGATTCTACAGTTCCGGGGATTAGCGTATGAAAACAGAAAACTTTTTAACGATTGTTTGATTAATTTCTCATTGCGATTCAATATAAGAAGATTAAACCATGGATAGATAGATTCATTTTAGATACGTCGAAACCCTTCAAATAAAATAAACTCTGCACAAAACCATCAAGTAACACTAATATAACATGCAAATGCAATCTTTGCATGCGTCATCCTCTCTATCTCTGGTCTAACACCATAGTACGAAGGCCATTAGCAAATAGCACAGCAATTTACACTATTATCTGTTCATCGCGGTATACTTCCATGCACTAATGGTCTATCTAATTTAGTTTAATGAAAGTTAGTTTCTAGGGCTCATACCTACAAAACTGGTATTTCATGATTTGTCAACCGACTTCAAAAAGTAGGAGGTTCTCAATTCGACTGTATTTTTTTTATGTTTGTTACCTCAGAACTCCGTCATTTATTAACCGATTTGGACAATTTTTGTGTTGTTTGAAAGTGTATACTTTCAGATTGGTCCAATTTAAATTTCAAAAAAAAATACCACCCCTGAGGGTGGAAAAATAAATAATGATGAATTTAACCTACTTCTAATTGTCATATTGACTTGAAACTTTGCAAGTGTTTCTATTTCCGTTGATAGTACAGTGGTTCGGTATTGGTGACCTGATCTGATGATAAGGCCAGAAGGTGGATAGGTGGAACTCTTCAACGGCTAATAGTAGATACTTTGAGTTTGGGCTTATTTTGTTTGATTTGACAAGCTTAACACGTTAGAATTCTTACTTTGCTACTACTGTCTACACTAAAAAGGGAAAAATAAAAACTTTTTAACAAAAAAATAAAAACCGACTGTGTGCTTTGGCTAAGTAATTAAAGCCTACCTATTAAATATATACCTAATCAAATATTTTCGAAATCGGTGCCAGCCCATACAAAGCAAAGCACACCGACTTCGAAAATATTTGATTAGGTATGTATAGTAAATGAAAACTACCAATCACTTATTTTTTACTTTTTAGTGCTTTTGTTTGAAGTCGGTTTTTATTTTTTTTCCATAATAATAATATTTATTTGTGGTTTCCCTCTTTCTCCTTGTAGACAGGTATAGGCAACATGACTCTGCAATGTGATACTTTGATTTTATAGTAAATTTTTTTTGTATAAAGGTAACAAATAAGGATACGGTCTGGTTAATAGTTAGCAATGACTTTAGCCTACGTTCACGCTATATATGATGATGTATGATAAGTGCTAGGCAGTGCCGGATTTAACCTTAGCGCCGCCCCTGGGCATAGTAAAAAAAGGCCACCCTTTTATCGAAATTTTTCACAAAATGGGTAGTTTCGATGAAGTTTAATTTGTTTTAATTGTATTTTTTTTAAAAACACAAATAAATAATTTATAAATGATATCAATTTTTCGAAAAATGTACCAACTAGTTAATCTTTTTTTATTTTTTTTTTTTTTGGAAAATAATTAAAGCGTTCTCGATAACGCGAAGAATTTTTTTTCTCGTCCCCCGAATTTTGCTGCCCCTAAAAGTTTGCCGCCCTGAGCACTAGCCCAGTGTCTCTAGTGTAAATCCAGCGCGCGGGTAGGTAAAGGTGAATTCATCTCAGCTTAACCATATTCTCAGGGATTATTCAATAAAAAAATCTATGCATTTGATATTATATTATATGTATGTATGTCTTGGTCGAGAATTTAATAAAAACCCTATTACGTACTTGCTTACTTGCACAAAACTTATATGAAAAACTATTATGAAGTTTTAGATAGTAGTATATTAGTATTATTAGTATATAGTATATTATTCATAGAGTAGAATATAAATAATTTTAATATTCCTTGCATTACATAGCAATAGCATGAAAGTATATTTTGCCCAATGGTCTCTTTTTATATTAACAAAATCTCAAACTTTCCTTATTTATCGACAAACTTATTTTTTTCTTTATGTGTTTTCGTCACCATACAAAAATATGACATAGTAGGTCTACTTAAGTGTTTAAATACACCGTGCTACAGGCTGATGGTTATCATCAACCATAGTAATGAGATTGACTCTAATGGTACGACGCACGAAATATTAGTGTACAACATTCAACTGACAATGAATTTCGATGTACAACCAAATTAATGACAATAGTTAGTCAATAAAGCAGAACAAATAACTATGTTTATGATCGTTACAGAAATTTACTTAGTGCTGCTAGAAGAAAGCAACGAATAGTCAAACTTATACATAATATGTTCTAACTGCCTCGGTAGTCTAGTGGCTAGCACGTACCGCTGCAGATTCTGGAGGTCCTTGATTCGAGGCTGAAATCAGCCAATTTTAGATGGTATTTCTGTTAAGAAAATTTCGTAACACTTGAAAATTTGGCGGTATTTGGTTTCCTCACAGAGCACGTAAAGCCGTCGGCCCTGTGACTCTCATCGGTCGTGTTGAATTGTCATGCTGTCGGGACCTTAGAGAAAAATTTATAGAGAGTGTATTTGTGTCTGTGCTTACACTTGTGCACTATAATGTCTAAACTGCAGTTGGCTGGTCTCAGTGAGATTGGCGCTGTGGCCGATATTTGTCAAGAGGTAATATAAGTATATTCTTCTCTAGGAAGATCTCCCCTAAAGTATAGAACTACTATTATAAATGCGAAAGTTTGTATGTGTCTGTATGTTTGTTACTCTTACGCGCTGAGAAAACTGGACGAATTGGGGTTAAAAGTTAAATAGACTATGGCCCGGAGTAAGACAGGTGAATGTAACTTGGAATAGAACCTAGGAATGCACCCGTATAAAGGAAGGGTAAGTCTTTACTTCTAAATATGATAAAAGGTTATAATTTTACCATAAAACCTTAATATCATTTAGAAATGAGACACTAAGATATATAACCCATGTATATTTTACAATGGAAGCACTGTTGCATATAATTATTATGGTTCTGCTCAGTGCTCACCGACTCAATCACGTTTCTATTCATACCTGTCATGACAGCGGATGAACAAGCTTCAAAACTCGTGTTTTGTGAGTATTTGTAAAGAAGTATATGTACAAAAAAGAACACTCAAATGTCAACGAATATGTAGAGTTTTATGTTACATTTTTAGCATTTCAAAATCATAGTGCTTTGATATTTCTACTTACTTGACCAGATATATAATATAAGGAAAACCTAGTACTTATAGGTATAATAATAATATTAATTAGCATTATAATTAAATATAACAGTACACATGAGTATAGCAATCACCCTCATTTATATAAAACTAGCGATTGGCCCTCGCTTCACTTGGGTTCGTCCTTAGATAGTAGGTACGTTTTATATAGATAAAAATATTTATTGTGAGCGTGAATTAGGAGATAGACACATGCTTTCGTGGACTTTTCTGTAGGCCTTTTTAAGACCTTCAATTTTTTAATTCATTGTTTTGGTGTATCTCTAGGTTTAGCCAGCCTTAGCATTATCGTACGAGAACAGTTTTTTTTGACAAAACAACGTTTAGGCTCAGCTATTTTCTACAAAATATTTACAAATTAAATATATACACACTTACACGTTTATCCGTAAACCTTACTCGTTATACCCGTATCAAAATGCGTTGCGTGGTTTAGAAGAAATAAGTAATGACATGTCGAGTAAATGAATATTGATTTATTCATGTCATTAGTTAATTCTTCATGAATATTCAATACTTTCTATTCTACAGAATAACGTAAATAATATAAATTAAAAAGGCCAATTTTCTTAATTTACTAAAAAAACAGTAAACGATAATAATATTATTAAAAAAATTAACTAACAGCGTAATGCTTACAACATGTTAGTTTCCGCTGTCGTAAATTGTTTCTTCGAGGCGACGGGTAAAGTATGCTTTCATCATATTTAATACGTAGAAACACGTGTACACGTAATAACAGCTCTGTTAAAGTGGAGACTATTTTTCATATATTTGGGTAGGTACTTATAATATTACAGTTTTATGAGGCATCGATATATAAAACACTGGCATTACCTTGCGGCGCCGCCCGCGTAATATTTAAGAATTAGTCCGCTCTTATCGGTCGTAGTGTAATGAAAATTGGCTTAAAACATTCCTTAATAAATAGGCTATGAAAAGAAAAAGATTTTTTTTAAATCGGACCAGTAGATCCTGAGATTAACCCGTTCAAAGAAACAAACTTAACGCTTCAGCTTTATATATTAATTATACTATAGATTATTCAAATTTTTGAATCATGTTCTAAAAAAAACTATATTTTTATTATATTAAAATAAAAACAATATTTTCAAAACAAATTGTAAAGTAATGTTAATATTACGAGTACCTTTATTTAGGTTATAGGTACTTAATATTGTATGTATGTATGTGTCATCATTACGTATAAACGACTTTTGACCTACAATTGCCCTATACTAATTAAATATGTAAAATACTATATTATAAAATATTCATTCTGTTAACGCTTAAAGTAAACAACGCATTTTTACTTAGAACAATGATTCTTAAAATTTAAAACCAGGTGCAAATCGTAAACAAAAGCTAAACTCTTAAAATATTTCAAGATAAATCATTTTAAGTGAAGTGTAAAATAATGTATTTATAGCAAACGAACTTGAGAAACGGCAGATTTGTTTTACGGCAGTTTAGACTGTTCTTCTATAAAAACAAGTATATTAGTGTATTCCACGAACACTGTACAGGTATCAACTATTCAAGAGTTCTTACTAATCCTGAAAAAAAAACAAGATTAGTTTTAAGAAAGCGAAATAATAAAAATGTCCGAAAAAGATAATAAAATGGAAAAGCTGAAGAATTGCCTGATTAAGTTACACGATAAAATACAAGATCACGTTGAAGACTTCCAAGACCAGATTCATAACTGTGTTGAAAAATCCAAGCTCTCAAAATTCGTGTCCCATGTGTCTGATGAAAAGGATGCCACAGAAGATTGTGATAAAGAAACAGATGATAAATCTTCAACAGAATCTTCAGAAATCCACAAAGAGCGTAGCTCAAGTATACCGTTAGTCATAGTGGATGAACCTAATCTAAATGAAACAAAGCAAATTTGCAAAGATTTTATTACTATTGAAAAGAACAACGTGCTTTATCGGAGATGTTTATCAACTTCGAACCTTGCATTTGATGGTAATTCAAATTTGTACAGCTCCAGTGATTCGTGCTTTTCTTGTCTGTCTTCTAGTGACGAAAGGTATGTATTATATCTATTTTTTTCCATCCATCATTTATTTATACTTGTAAATATACTAATATAATATGTTTTTACAAATACTTTATTTATGTGTGTATTTTTGTGTATTTCGAACTTTTTTTATTAATACAGGGATGGGATATGAAACCTTGTGGAATAGGAAAGTAATCATAAATTCCACTTCTAAGAATGAAAAAAAATACAACCGAATTGGGCTCTTCACCTTTTTGAAGTCGGTTGATAACTAATTTTAAAATGCTTTTAAAGTCGTCTTATATAGCAGCAATCATCTCACCTTTATCATTTAACCTTTGTTTGTAAATTTCAAATCAAGAGCGAGATCACAGAATAAGATATTAATACGAGTATAGAACCTAAACAAAATTTAAAGGACTTAACTATATGTCACTCAAAATTAGTCATACCTATGTTAGTACTTAGTATCGGATAAAGCTGCATTATCTTATTTACTTCGGCAATACTTTTATCAAAATGTAAAGATAAGTAAAGTTCATAGAGAATATTACAGATAACGAGATAAAGCTGCTATTACATGGTTAGCTTATTGCCTACATATTATGTTACACTATTATCGAGCTGCGGGTTTGTGCGTTATCTATAATCTACATGAAATATGAATAAACACTAACGCTTTATACAAATAAAATAAAATTAAAAAAATATTAAATAAAAAGTATCCTATATGTTGACCCGGATAACCAGCTATCACCCTACCAAATTTAATCAAAATCTATCCAGTAGTTTTCTCGTGATGCGGTAACAGACAGACAGAAATTCTAAAAACTATAGATTTCGCTTCTGTATCGATAATAATGACTATTTCAATAAGATTTTCCAAAAAATATTTAATGTACAAATTCGGTTAAGTTAGAATTTTATTATATGTATAGATTATATTGAGTCTATATAAAATAGGTTTATTATTTAAAACTTGTATTGTATGCGTAACGTTAAGGCACATATTAAATAATGTGCACCAAATTCTTATTTAGATGGTTAATGTCTAAAATATGCTTTGCACAGTAGTCTCAAGTAGCTTTAAAGAAAAGTTTTCACTAATTACTAAATTTTTCAGCTTTAAAGTTATTTAAAATTCAGTTTGCCTATTTAGTTGAAAATTTATGTGAATATTTGTCATTTTAAATAAAACTGTCTTTTCGGGAGAGACTGTGTCCCGTGACCATGGTTGTTGTAAAGCATTCGAAACGTCGACAATCAAAAATCAAAATAAATTTGCAAAAAAATCCGAAAAAATAGTTTTCTTTAAAAAGTAAGTTAATCATTATGATGTTATTTGGAACTTCTATATTATGAAAACTTTTACACTCTGATATACTGCAACACTTACGTAATTGTATGGAATTGCAAATGAGAGGACCCCCGCATACGAGAAATATGAATCTTATTTTATATTAATGGAAGTATAATATACACATTATGTTTTCTCAAGCATTTTTAACTATTGATGTATTTGTTATTTATTTTAATCTAAATACTTAAGGGACATATTTTTGCATTCTTATTATTTTACTGACTTCAAAAAGGAGGAGGTACTCAATTCGATTTAAAACACTCCCGAGGATGAAAATTTTACTTTTACAATTATAAATGGTAAATAATAAAAATTAGATGATAATATATATTTTAGGTCTATAAACCTATTAATTAAGACTCTAAATTACGTAAGCAGTTTCATTGTGCTCGAATTGGAGACCAAACAAAAGCCTGGCTTAAGTTCCAGCACATAAGTGTAATTTAATAACAACAAATTACAAATGTATATGTATGTATAATATACTATTACATAATAACTTGATATTCTATCTATTTTCCTCACAGAGCGTCTCAAATCAGGCCTCGGGCGGGCAGTCTGCCACCAGGTCCAAACTTCAACGTCCCAACAGCCATCAACGCGTGTACAGATTTGTTTGAAAAAATAAAAAGCAAAGGAGACATGATTCATAGGGTATTAATTTGGGTGGTGGCTGCATGTGTTAACACTTGTGCTTTGTGTGTATATAACCTTATATTGTGGTTGGAATATAAAATTAATAAATTCGTGCTAATATTTATTTGTCTATAATGTATATTTGTTTATCTATCGTTTAACGTTGAAACAGAGCGACAGATTGATGCGATATTTTATATGTAGATAGTTGGAGGACTGGAGATTAACTATTTAGCTTCTTTAACCTTACCTCAAATTGTAAGTAATAAAATAACAGAAAAGCTCTAGGTATATTATAAAATACAAATCGTTTTCTAAAAATATACTTACATATTCGCCTTAAAATCAAAACAAATCAGTTCGTAGAAATCTCTTGCATATTTAACTCTGTGGTATAATTTTGCAACTTCATGCTGAATATGTAAATCTACTCCAGCAAGTATAACTGTAATAACTATGAGTATTATATGATAATTTTATTTTCCTATTTACATAAATGTGCCGTCCTTTTTTCCTTTTTTTCCTCCTTTTTACAACAATTTTACTGATGTGAGTTTTATAGTTAGAGATTTATGAAGGGAAGGGTCATAGAATTTGTTTTATATCTGTACGTGAACTCATTCCCGTAGGATAACAATATATCGCAAAATGTCAATAGAGACGTGAAACAAAGGCGTGTTACTAAAATCAATAATACAGATAATATATGTATATGTAATTTGTCTAACAACCTTCATCTACCTTTAAAGTTTGTGTACCTACCTACTAATTGCGCAGAAAGCCCAATTAAAAACAAAGCGTGGTACCATATTTGAATTCATTTTTATTATTCATATACTAGAACTTCAATTTTTATAATTTTACATTACGTCATTATTACATCCAAGAATTCATTCATCATCAACCATTTGCAACTTGATTACCACTTGTCTTACGGTGAAGGAAAACATCGTGAGGAAACCTGCATGTCTGAGAGAACCTAGCCAGCGTGGTAAACTATGATTTGATCCCCCTCGTATTAAAGGGAGGCCCATGCTCAGCAGTGGGATTCCTCTTTAAAGTCTTAAAATTAAAAACACGTAATTTGTATTAACACATAATATTTTTAGTTTTTACCTTACTTACCTATATCAGTAGGTACATCTTTTAAATATTATCGGCTTACTTAATATTATTTAATCTAGGTAAATTATGTTTTAAATAATATTCAAATTTATACTTTTCTTCAAAAGTACATTTTAGAGAATTTGTCTTGTATGTACGCCCCTATTCCCTATAGACTATGTCTTACACGTACACACATACGAGTACGTCTTACAATACAGGATGGATCTCGTTAAAGCCGTGTATTTGCAGAAACGTTGTCTACGAGTGCTACTGTATCTACAAATTGAATAGAAATAGAATAATGTCTATTTTAAAATCGTATATTTAGCATCAGCTAAAAATATAATGTTTTCAGCATTTCCCATTTTTTACTGACATTGCATATTGTATATCTTCAATTTAAACTATGTACAAATATATCGTTTTTAATTTGAACTATCTAATATCTATATAGTTTATACATAACCTTTGTTAGACCTAAGAAATACGATACACAAATAGATTTTATTAAACTAGTTATCTACGAGTAGATATATCTATATAATTAACGCACGTTACCTACTACAATTTTCATAAGTGCACTGTGCACATATTTTTCTCACTAACCAAATAACCATACTAACAAATAATAACAACTTTTAATATGTGATAAGGTAATGTATATATATCTCTACTATCTATATATATATATTACATGATGTTATGTGTAAAAGTAGTTGCAACCCATTGGCAATGCGCTTGCTTGCTTGAACAACTAAGTGACGGGTTCAGACTAAATTTTTTGTTTGAAGCACGATTATTATTTAATATTAACTAATAATTTGAAGCAAAATATCACGAGGAAACCCCTAGATCTAAGAGAACTTTCACCCCCTTAAGAGATGATTGCTGGGATAAAAATCCTAAATCCTATGTCCTTCCCAGGGTCCCAAACTATCTTCTTACCAAATTTCATCTAAATCGGTTCAGTAGATCCATAGACTACCCCCTACAACGTCACAAACTCACAATTCACAAACTCCCAAACTTTACCTCTTTATAATATTAGTATAAATTTATGAAGTCCGCCAAACCACAGTTCATCGGTGCAGGAATTATGACCGGATCCTCCTCTAATTGATGAGACCAGTGTTCGGTACTGGGTCAAATAAAAAGGTCTAAATTATTATTACGTTTCTCATGAATTTTTTAGCGGAATTCGAACGAATTCACCGAAAATGTAAACAAAGTTGCATTACTCTTTACATCTAATCAACTTCACTAAAATAGCACAATCTCTTAAAATCCATTTATCGTACACTAAAATAAATATGACCAAGTTTTTTTTATAAATAATGTGTATCCGGCAAGTATTCTCTGGGATTAAAATTTTGTTATATTTTACATATTCTTTCTCTTTTCCAGTATTTAATGAAGAACACAAGGCTGAGTGATGTGAACAAGCGTTTGAAAGCTCAAATATGGAGTTCCGTGGTGACGATAGTTTTAGTCGAAGCTAAAAATCTTCCAGCAATGGATATGGACACCAGGTCTAGTGACCCTTATTGTAAATTTAGGTAAGTCTTAGATAATACTTTCTTAGATTTACGCGAATATTTGATATTTTAAATAAAGCTGATTTATTTAGATTTTTGATTCTCGACGTTTCGAATGCTTTACAGTTTACAGCAATCGTGGTCACGTGAGACACAAAATCAAAATAAATCAGCGGAAAAATACATTTTTTTTTATTATATATTTTATTTAATAGGTTTTAGATCGGGGGGCACGGAGTGCCCCCGCCAAGTCGAGCAAAAAAGGGCACGACAGTACCATCCTTTTCTCGAAGCGATTCAGAGCATTTTCCACCCCCCCATAACTTCGTTATGGATAAAGCTAGAAGCCTGAATTTTCAGTGACTAAAAGAACATAATAAAACTAGGCATATTTCCAAATTACATTCAATTTGAACCTGTAGTTTAAGAACTGTTGCAGATCAAAATTCGTTAATATCGTCACGCACACACTCACTCACTCACTCACCGATCATCAAAATTCTAAGGTACTTCTAGCAGACATAGGAGCTTCAAATTTTGAACACAATTAGTGTTTAGCCTATAACGGAAGGAAAAACTCAAACATCATGCAATTTCAATCCTGTTTTCGAGATATACAAACTGCATAAGTAACTTTGTATTCCTATACAAATAGATATGCGATTACAAAGTTATTTTTGCAGTTCATACATATCATTTTTCGTCACTTAAACTACCCAAATGTATAGCAGGGTAAATAGTGGATATACTGTAAGTGTTAGCGACGACTAAAATGTAATTATCAATATTGTAAAGAGTTTTAAGAAACAATATATTTAATATATAACATTAAAACTTATATGTATAAAAGATCTTAAATATAAAAAAAAATATACAAGTAATCGAACACTCGTGTGTTCCGTAGCGAGAGTCGCCCGGGGGAATTCGGGTGGTATCCGTAATAGGATTTCCCAACTATAAAAAAAAAGTACAGAGCCCTCGGAGCGTTAGTTTGTCTTCTACTTGACTAATACATACAATATGTATTTATCAATATTTAGTTTAGTCATGTTAAAAAAACACAGGAATAACTCATATATTATTTTATTAACTTAAATATCCAACTTAAAATATATCTTTCTCAGAGTTCCGTTTGTTATCACTAAGTATTTAATTTGTTAGTCAATTTCTCCACTTTAACGACGTCAAGGAACGCTAGAAGGTTTAGGTATTTTTTTAAATAATAGGTCACAATAAAATAGCACATAATATAAATAAACTTCATCATAGCTTGCCTTAATTTGTGCCGTTATGTCAAATATAAATTTCGTTTAAAAATCATAAAATATTTTAATTAAAAATACACTATTTTTTCCTTACATTATTTAAATTAAATATTATTTTTTCATTTCCCGATATCTTACTTTTATTTATTCATATATTCTTATAAAATTTATAATTAATGGTAAATTAATTATACAATAGTTGCACTGTAAAAGGGGGTTAGGTTAGTGTTTTACCTGTAGGTATGTATGTTTGTACGTCCGATCCTATGTTCCCTCGTAATTACTAACCTAATTTCGATTGGTCTATTTATTAATGTTTATATTTGCAATTATATGTATTAGAAAAGTATTTTTAAACGCGAAAATAATATTTTAAGCTTTTTTAGTAGCTGTATACATTTTTATGCATATACAAATGGGTACATAAATGTAATGTGAAGCGTGTATAGTTTATACCTACTAATATTCGATTACTGTTATTTATAATGAATTGATTAAAATATATACCTAATTAAGAAACAACTTGACGATTACTTAATTTTGAAACAAAGCTCGTACATTTTCTTTTACAAAGTATGATGTTGATATGAATTAGAAAACCTTCTCAACATCTCATTTCATTGCCCGTAACTGTGCCCACCTATTAGAACATGGAATATAGAGGTCATGAAATATCAATCTCTTCAAAAATTACTTTTAAAATGGAATGGAATACAACTTTCGGGATTTAACTACGATGCTGCAGATAGACACATAAATCTATACATCTTATTAAACTTATGTAAGTCGAATATCAGTATCGGGGTAGGTATTTAGGGTCAACAATGAAATTTAAATATTCGTTAAATTAACTATACATATTTATTCTTAATGCATAAGATAGTAGTATTTAAAGTCCAGGAGTCCGTAATTTCCCAATACAATAGACTTAGATTTTTTATCATCCAGACTTGTCAAAATTTGTTACCTATATCAAAGCCTCTGAAAAAGCCCACAGAGACAAGGAGTGGGCTTTTAAAAAGTCCTTAGCTGACACACAAGAAATAGTACAAGAAAACAGAAAAAGAAGAAATATTTACAAAAAGAAATGAGATCCCATCAAAAACATTCTGTAAAAATATTGCAAGTCTCGCAACGCATTTCTTCTACCTCAAAAAGCTATGAGATGTAATGTAAAACCAAGTCGGTTAATTTATTCATTACCTATCTATGAAAGCAACTATCCGACAACTTTGTCATAAATCGTTACCGAATTAGTTAAGTTACAACATTTTATAGTGACCGTATTAATATTAGATATATTTATTTCTTTAATTAATAGAATGACTTGGCCATCGCACATGATAATAGAATCTACAAATAACAAAATTTACCTAAAATTAGCGTTCTGAGTGCATTATTTATGTTAGTGTATGCATAAATTTGACCCGCTAGTGCTATGTTCAGTTCATCTCAGCCCAAACACACACACAGCTGGACATAGGCCTCTCCCAAAAAGTTCCACGACAACCAGTCTTGTGCCATCCGCATCTAGTGGGCTCCAGCGACTTTGACCAAGTCGTCCGTCCACCTCGGTCATGATATGTTTAATTAGGGCTATTTAAAGTTGTAGACTCTTATGTGATTATGTTTCCGTGCGATGGCCAAGTCATTCTATTAATTAAAGAAATAAATATATCTAATATTAATACGGTCACTATAAAATGTTGTAACTTAACTAATTCGGTAACGATTTATGACAAAGTTGTCGGATAGTTGCTTTCATAGATAGGTAATGAATAAATTAACCGACTTGGTTTTACATTACATCTCATAGCTTTTTGAGGTAGAAGAAATGCGTTGCGAGACTTGCAATATTTTTACAGAATGTTTTTGATGGGATATTTTATTCTAGACGGTAGGAAGATATGTATCAAATTATAAACTCCTACAGATTTTAACATTTTTATTTTATATTCATTACATTTTTTCGAAACGTACTTTTTTATATTTTTTTAAATTCCGGATATAGGAACAAAAATTAAATCCAATAATGCAGTTTTAGTAGCTTTTATCAAAAGTGACAACGTTGTGTTAAGTTGTAATCGCTTTTTTCATAGTTTCGAATTAGGTCATTCATGTCTTCTTGATAAAACCCTAAGTCTGTATAAGTATAATATGTTCCTAAGCAATGTTTACATAAGTAATGCTTTCCTTAAACACAAAAGTTAAATGATAGTACTTGTTTACTACTTGTAAAAAAATTACAGAAAATATTATAGAATTAAAAAAAATTTGTTCGCCTTATAAAATTGTGGTCAAAGGTCGGGTTTTTTAAAGCTTTTTTATTAAACGTCGACTTATAAAGCATTTAGTAAAACCTTTCTTCAATATTTACTCAAACGTAAATCTGTACGTGAATTGTGTAGTTGAATGTTTAACTGCGTTTTGAAGAGTGGCTATAAATTAAACTGCGGTTGCTTTATTTATTTATGGACAGAGTAAGACAAACAGCTAATTACTACAGCATATTTATCTACGTTACAACGTAAGAGCTGATACCAAACGTTTGGTTTATATGTTATTTATGTGTATCATAAAATTCACGGAAATTCATCTAATATTCTATATATTTAAAACAAAAAATATTTAAAACAAAAAACTGCTTGAAAAAATCATATTATAATAACTTATGCGTGTTATATGTCTGTTCTATTTACTAGATTCAACATTATAAGTTTCTAGTTCTACACATTCTTATAAAACTAGCGACTTTCGCTTCGCTCGGGTGCAAACCTAGGAATAATTTCATAAAACGTTGTTTTCATATAGCTATTGGCTTTCCAGTTGGTACAATTTTTTCCGGCATCTTCTACAATCATCGTCATATTTTAGCCAATTAGCATAAAACCTTTTTTTGAGTTTATCGCGCTCAGACACACAGAGAGACAGACAGATAGACGCCGTGCCAGAGGACTTTGTTTTATAATATGTAGCGTTGAGAAATATTACATTTGTGTAGACACTCTATATGTAGAAAGAAATATAAATAAGTTCTTTTTTACAGGTTAGGTAATGAAAAATATAAAAGTAAAGTAGTATGGAAAACTTTACATCCATCGTGGCTAGAGCAGTTCGATCTACATTTATACGATGATCAGGAGCAAATCTTAGAAGTCACAGTTTGGGATAAGGATAAACAGACCAAAGACGATTTTATAGGAAGGTAATAAAATCTCTTTATAAAGTTTTAATATAAAGTGTTTTTATTGAGTACTAGCGACACTCTCCCTTCGCTCGGGTTCTTCCCTACGTACGTTTTAACGGTTAGTATGGTATAGATAGGCAATATATTATATACGTAGGTATAGAAAAGTAGATAAGTACCTACTTTAAAATATATATATATATATATACATATATATATATATATATATATTCCTTACTTGAGAAAAGAAACTTCCAACCCCCGTTTCACCCCTTTAAGAAATGATTTTCGGGCTAAAAACTATCCAATGTCCTTCCTAGAGTTTCAAACTATCTCCATACCAAATTTCATCTAAATCGGTTCAGCGAATTAAGCGAGAAAAGGTAACAGGCAGACAGACAAACAAACAAAGTTACTTTCGCATTTATTTATTAGTATGGAATATGGATTGTGAATATCTACTTTTTATTATATCGTGTATACCCATTTTTTTTAAATAAATTATTAAATATCAAAATATTGGCACAACTGTCCATATGTAAACAGAGTACAATACAAATCTTGTATAATTTTTATCATTAAATTATAGAGGTGCCGTGTCTAGCTGCCATAGGCTAATAAACAGGAAGTCACAATTTAGATTTCCGAATGTCAATGTTCGAATTGGTTATACAGATGGCTTTTTCTGATGTATCGCCAAAGTGCGGCCAAACCATAACGACTGTACTACGATTGTTAAATTACTATAAGTCAGTTTTTTAAAACGTGAATTTTTTTGGTGAACTGGCGACTTTCCCTCGTTTTCCTAAGAAGCGTCCCTAGGTGCATTTTGTATTTATATATTACTAGCGACTCGCTTCGCTCAGGTTCGTCCCTAGGTTGATTTCCCAAACAAACTTTCATCCCATTTTCACCCCAAATTAAGGGATGATTTCCGGAATAAAAAATATCCTGTGTCTTTCCTAGGGTCTCAAATTATCTTCTTACCAAATTCCATATAAATCGGTCCAGTAGTTTTTAAGTTTATCGTTACATAATACACACACACATCATCATCATCATCACAGTAGCACATATATATGCACACATTGCACAGCACCCCTTTAGGCATTTCATTACTAACAGTAGTGTGTTCCTATTTAATCTATCTGTGTGCTAAATGTCATCTAAATCCACTTAGCCGTTTCAGCGAAAGTTTTCATAAGTAAAAAACTTGCAAAGCTCATGTAAGGCTACAAAATGTACTATTTTCAGGTGTGCTATAGACTTATCCAGATTAGAAAGGGAAAAAACGCACAACATATGGCAAGAGCTAGAAGATGGGAATGGGCAAATATTTCTTTTGCTTACAATAAGTGGGACGACGCAATCAGAAACTATCACAGACCTCGCTAGTTATAAAGAAAATCCTAGGGATATTGAAATTATTGAAAGGCGATATGTAAGTCTATATATTGTTTGAATTAATTGTTTAAATCATTCAAATTAATTGTTTTTATAATAAAGTAAAAGTTTAACAAACATGACACTCCTGCAGTGCGCGAAAGCCTCTATCAAAGGGTCATGAAACACAACTACACAAAGTCTGCTGCTAATATTTTTAGTATATTAATAATAAATACTTGCTCTAAACAGGGATTAAACCTACACCATATTACCGTCAGTCTGAAAGCTATCTTACAAATGAAAAAAATAATAAAAATAATAGAATATATAGTATATAGAGTAGAGTTTACAAGGAAATTTCTAAAATAAAGACCAAGAATTTACATCTAATAGAAAAAACCCCTTAACCAAAATAACGTCTTAGAAAATTTTGAACCCGTCTGTCTATTCAAACTACACGTTGGCTCTATTCCAATCCTAACATTAGTGAATGCGTGTCTTTGAAACTCGCTTTCAAGGCACCAAAACCTTTGTATGAAATTCTAAAGCGCATTGAAGTACTATCATTGCCTTATCGCGAAGATACGAGCTCAAAGAGCGTTTTTATGAAATATTATACGATGCTACCTGAAGGAAATACTAATAAAATAACGGATAACTCGACAAGTCATTCTAGTCTTATACGGTCTCTGAATAAAATTTACCTTTATTGAATAAAGTATATGTCCTTGAGTAAATAAGCATATACGAGTACAAACAGGCATCTTCTTGTATTATACTAGCGGCTCACCTTCGCTTCGCTCGATTTCGCCTCTAGACAAACAAAAACAAATCTATCCCACGGGAACCGTACATTTTTCCGGGATAAAAAGTTGCCTATTTGTTATTCTGATGTATGAACTATATTATTGTAATGTTACATTAAAATCCAATCAGTAGTTTTTGTGTACTAAGCTGTATAAGTTACTATAGTTTTTTAACTATCCCACGGACTCTTGAATTTTCCGGGATGAAAAGTATCTGAAATGTTCACCGGGGATATAAGGTACAACCAAAATTTCATTTAAATCGGTCCAACAGCTTCGGAGATTAGACCGTACAAACAAACAGACAAACAGATATACAGACAGACAAGGAAACAAACAAATTGAAAATAATTGTAGATGGATTTGTTCTATTTCTCTTACATCCCCCTGACTCGGTTTTTAGTTTTTTTTTTCTATGTCCAACGACCGACTCTTTAATTTTATTATATGTATAGATTAATACGTGAAGAGAAAACTTTTTACCCCTTTTTAAACATATTTCGCGTAAGAGTATGAGCATTGACATTTAACTTTTAAATTTTCGCGTTCTATAATTGTATAATAATGACACTACGGTCTACGGGACTTAAACGCGTGAATACGTAAGTGCCAAAATATCTTAGTCCCGACGTTGTTGATAGCTGCCCTAAGATGTATAGGTAGTATATTTAAAAAAACACATTCTCATTTTGTGATAATTGGTTAAGAAATCATAAGATATTTGAGGTATTTTAGTGCTCATTGTAGAAATCCTATAAATTACCACATATTGCCCTTTATTTTAGAAAGCAAATTCCCGCAACTATAACGTGTTTTAAATGATAGTAGATGAGAGTAAATATTATAAGAAGTTTATAATCATATTATTTTTTTATTATTGTTTTATTATATTGTGATAGGTAACTGCCAGACGTTGTGATTAATGATTAATCTCTACACAAAAGAACGGCTTGAATTACGAGTATATTCTGAGCAAATAATGAAAGCACCTTAGAACATAATTATATTACGAGTTACTTTTGCATCCATTTTTACCAATATAAATCTAACTTTTCTAGATTTCATGTAGCGAACATATTATAATAGCTGGAACCAAAACAAGTATTACAAAAATCGTAGATCTTAAAATTTCCTGTAACTTATGAAAGAAACCATTTTTAATAAGGGAAAAGTTTCATAATAAAGCGTCTGGCGGAAGTTAATGAATATTAGTTTTGTATAACATTATTATGTAGCTTGATAAGATTAATATGTTTTAAAGTTGGCACGTACGCGTACTGTATTTAGTGTAGGTACTTTAAGGGCTGATCCAAACTATAGCACTAATCACAGTTCGTTCTTGGTCTGATTTCGGACTGGTAAAGTATTTCTTTCTATACCTAGAAGAAACGTATCTTGTGTAGAAATACTCCAGTGAAGTGTGATTCGACTGAAACGTGACCCTTACTGATAATGTGATTGTATGTACTTATTGTTCCATACTATAGTGTGGATCGAGCCTAAATTGATCGTTCATCTTCAACACTTTAAGAGTTTAGGCTATTAATCCTTAACTTCAACTTTTGCTAAATAAACGTATATATAAACTAGCGACTCACCCTCGCTCCGCTCTGGTTCGTTCAGAAATGAGATATTTTTCCGCAGTAAAAAGTATCCTATATGTTGACCCGGCTATCGTCATACCAAATTTATCAAAATCTGTCCAGTGGTTATATGGTGATACGGTCACAGACAGACAGGCAAAATTTTTAAAAACTATAGATTCGGCCTCTTTATCGACAATAATGATTATTTCAATAATATTTTCCAAAAAAATATTTAATGTATTGAATTGTTATATGTATAGATAAGTACGAATAACAATATTCATTTAAATAACAATTTCTCTAGCACTACATAATTTATTGACAACAAAATAATATAGATTATTTTCAAACTTTTAGACGTGGTATCATTTAAACGAGGGCTCAAGTGGAGTTGGCTGGCTATGTGTTAAAGTATACGGTGCTAAGGGTCTAGCGGCAGCAGACTTGGGGGGTAAGTCAGACCCCTTCTGTGTATTGGAGTTGGGAAACGCGAGGCTACAAACACACACTGAATATAAAACGCTTACACCTAATTGGATGAAAATTTTCACTTTGTGAGTATTATTTTACCATATTTTAAATTGTTTGCTTGCTTTCCTTTGTAGGAAATCCATATTGAAATAGGTTGTATTACAAAGGTAGGGTAAGGTTTTTTAAGGTTTTTTTAAAACAAGTTTTTTAAGGTTTTCTTTTAAAACACAAAGGTTTTTTTGTAAAGCTTTAAGCTAATATAAAATAAAATGACTTAAACGACATATTTAAATTTTTGAGCTTGTTTCATGCATTTTAGTTAAATTTATTTTTTAATTCAAGCATTACCTATATTACGTATAGTATGAAAATTAAAAAATCTACTTATATTTATTTATATTGTAAATTGACACATGATCTCAAGACCCAACAGACGTGTTTTAGATGTTTGTCTAGAATTTCCTATTTTTTGGGGCAACTTTTCCAAAAAAAAGTTCCACTAATAACTTTTTGTGCATACTAGATTCACAATCCCATGCAAAAGTTCTCTTAAAACTGTCACCAATTGTGTTTAGGTACTTGTTCTAGTTGAAATAAATATACAACTATGTAAGACATTTATGTCGCTAATTTTGTATCTAGTACTTTTTTGATCGATGACTAATAAAGTATTATTCAGACTACGAGTATTACGAACATTATAATAAATATTTACATAATCCGTCAAGCCGTTCCTAAGTGACGCGTACCAACGAACAAAATTTCATTTTTATTTATTTACATAGATATATATTTATAGATCACTCCCTCCTCTTATGTTTTAGCACAGTAAAAGATATAAGTTCGACATTAGAACTAACAGTATACGACGAAGACCACGACCATAAAGTAGAATTCCTCGGGAAGCTAGCGGTGCCATTACTAAATATACGTAATGGGGAAAAACGATGGTTTGCCTTAAAAGACAAGAAAATGAGAGCACGAGCAAAAGGAAATTATCCACAAATATTATTGGAAATGAGTGTTATTTGGAATCCGGTAAGGAAAATATAATTTTATTGTTAGCAATTTTGAGCATTATTATCAAGGAAGTTCAATTATCTCGGGAAATAGTATGAAACTATAAGTTAGTATATGTAGACTTATGTAAAACTAGTAGAACCCGAGGCTTCGCTCGCGCTAAAATTACAAAAAAATATCTGAACAGGTAGGTTTTATATAAACTTTCATGCCCTATAAGATGAATTCTGAAAAATGGTAAAACACGTATTTGTTTAATTGTATTGAAGAACATTAATATCTAGGTTCAAGTAATTCCGACGACAAATATTTTTTGGGTTGTATTATAACATGTTTTCCCGTGGGAATGAGATAATCTCCCGCGGTAAAAATAGCCTATGTTACTACTCCAGCCCTCCAACTATCTCCACACAAAAAATCTGGCCAATCCGTCATTCCGTTTCGACGTGAAAGAAGGACAGACAGACAAACAAATAAACACACTTTCACATTTATTGTGTACTAAATAGAAATCTCTTAGGTAGTTTCAACGTAGAGAAGTAACAAACATACAGACATACATTTGCATATAAAATTGTCTGATACTAACACGTAAAAATATTTTTTTATCATAAATTTTCTTTTTAATTCCCTTGTTAATCCATGAATTCTTTTTGAAGTTTTCTTTTGGCACGTTTTGAAAAAAAATGAGAGTAAAATTTTTACGATGCGCGCGCACACCAACAGCCAAAAAGCGACATGATGAAGTTAGCTGAAAGAGAGAGACATGATGAAGTTAGCTGCATTTCTTTTACAAACAGAGAGTTGTAACATACAGGATGAAATCTTTAGCTATTTTTGTTCGGTTACGTCAAAGAAGTATAACTTCTTACGTGCGTACATAAGTACATACACACACATTTTTTTTTTCAAATAGCTTATACTCCAAAGCTCGTCCCGTATATGTTTTAAGAAAAATTCCTTACGAATAAAATAGACTATTAAAGTGATATAGAAGTCGGTATACCTTTTTAGTTAATTAAGTATTACAGTAGAAATTCTTTATATTTTCTATTACAGCTCAAAGGTGCTATTCGAGTGGTAAATCCCAAAGAGCCGAAATATATGCATCAAGAAGCAAAGTTCAAGAGACAAGTGTTTATTAAAAACGTGATGAGACTGAAGGCTATTATAATGTGGTTTATTGAATTTGGCAAAATTTTACAGTAAGCTTTCTTATATATTTATTTATTAGCTTTTCAAGGAAAATAGTACAATAAATAATTACATTATAAAATATATAAAAATAATCCTAAAACTGACCAAGCTTCCACAGATATCATACGATATAAGATATCAGAAGATATTATTTTTAAATTTTTTTAATTTGAGTAACAAAGCTCTTAAGATTAATCAAATTTTTAGACAACTATATTTTACAGATTTATAATGAACGTGCTAAATATGTGCATAATTACGGTCTAACATTTAAACAGGGTTCGGAATCGGTTTAAAAAAGACTAATTTTGGTATTATATCTAATAGTTAATTCATTGTTTGTTCATTAACCGGTTAATAAAACGTATGGCTCAGTAAGCTGAAATAATAATGGTTAACGGATATTCTTAAAGAAGGTTAGACTTAGGTTTTGGTACCGAAATAAACCGGTAAATAATATAAATAAGTAAGAAACGTAAAAATGTATTCTTTCTTCTACTACGCAATTACTAACAATAATAGCAAAGATTCGCCAAATGTAAACGCACAAAAACTCATTTTATCTGGTTAATTTCGATCATGAAACCTAAATTGAGGAATTAAAAAACAACCGTTTTCCGGGCTTTAACCGGTAAAATAACATGATCGAAACCTTAAACCGAAAAGCCTTTCGGTTTTGGGGTTGATGACCAAAACCGACTTAAAAGCTACTCGACTTAAAATTCATTTTATATGACGGTTTTATATTTTCAATTATTTTATATTTATCTTTCATTGATTCAAGACCAATAATATTTTCAGAGACTGTTTCGAATGGGAGTCTAGAGTACTCTCTTTTATGGGTCTACTAGCGTGGCTGGCTTTTTGTTATTATTACCAAATGTGGATGTTGCCATTCTTATTATTAATATTTTTTGGAAGAAACTGGCTCATATATAGACTTACAGGTAAATATTAAAAATTTATATGTATTATTTCATTTTATAATAAAATTACTTCATTTCTCTTTCGTAGACAGATTTTAGTGAATATATTTTAGTTAAGCTTTATTTTTATTTTGTAGTTCAATTTAAACTTTCTCGAAACCCTTGGGAGTGTTTGAAACGGTTGTTTTGTAGTAAGTTATATTGGCAATTGTATAGATATTGCATGAATTGTTTTTGTTATGAAAGGGGTTCGAATATTTTTCTATTGAAGTTGATATTAGCAATCTGCCGCCATTTTGTTTTTTTATTATTGAGCAGTGCACAATGTAGTTGATATAAATAGATAGAGTACACTTAAACAAATAAAAATATTACCAATAACGTGCCCTAAGATGTCACGTTTCAAAGATATTTTAAAGTAAAGATCGCTTGAGAAAATGAAAACTATGAAAACTATTAGGTATAATATGAACATAAGTAACTTAACAGCTAATCAGTTCATTTCTAATGATTATCGTTTCATATATCGATTTTTAGCTTTAATTTTAACTGATTTTACTGTCTTCTATCCATATATTTATTACGTTTCCTTGTGCATCGCAAGTTAGAATAAAAATGGCGGTATGTTGGCAATGCTGCAAAGGTTCTAACCCCTTTTCTATGTGCTTATAAATAGCTTTTATATTTTAATAATGCCTTTTAAATGTCATAAAAATAAGTCTATGTTGTAAATGTAAGAAAAACGAAATATACAAAAGTAGGTAATAATGTGTTTGTTTTAAATCAATAACATTTTCACAGGTGGTAACCCATTACTAATGCCGGTCGATGATGATGATTTATTGGCTGAAGAAGACGATGAAGAAGAAGTGGACAAGGTAGGTAATAAAATGGAGAACTCATTTTAGTGAAACTTTGCTCGTAAAGTCAAAGTAGGTAATAAATATCTATTCCCCTAGTTAAAGTTTTAATGTCATTTGTAAATGAGAACAAGTTAGAAATTCGATATTTTGTTTTGAATGATCCTTTTATTTCAATTTTATACATTTTATTAATAACTTAATAACTAGTTACTGACCGCGATTCAGCTTGTGAAATGAAATTAAACTTTATTATCAGTGTAGTCAGTACTTGAGGAAGCTACTAATCTAGGTATGTATGTTTGCTAAATTTAATCGAAATCCGTTGAGTAGTATAAGCGTGAAAAGGTAACAGACATACAGAATTACTTTCAAAACAAATATATTATTGTTGTATGAATCTTTATTATTGTCTACTGAAATATTAAAGGAAGTTTAAAAGTGCAGGTTCGATTACCGTCTTGGAAAATAGTGTGAATAGTCAAAAATCTTTCCTGTTTTAGTTTTTATCAAAATCGAGATCTTTATTTCTTTGAGTTGAGTATCTTTTGCTATTTCTGGATTGAACTTGACACCATTCAAACACATTAATCTATACATAATATAATAAAATTTTAAGTCGAATCTGTACATTAAATATTTTTCTGGAAAATCTCTTTGAAATAGTCATTATTATCGATACAGAGGCCGAATCTACAGTTTTTACTTTTTAGAATTTTTGTCTGTTTGTCTGGGAACGCATCACGAAAACCACTGGACAGATTTTGATGAAATTTAGTATGATGATAGCTGGTTATCCGGGTTAACATATAGGATAATTTACTGCGGGAAAATCTCTTATCTCTGAGAAATCAATACTAAACGTTAATATATATATATAATAAATAAATAAAACATATTCCTTCAATATTATTTATTTACAGGAGGAAAAGAAATCGTTAAAGGAAAGGCTGCAAGCAATACAAGAAGTAACGCAAACCGTTCAAAATGCGATTGGTTATGTAGCATCTTTAGGAGAGGCTGTTAAAAAGTAAGTTTTTAAACATTTTTATGTATACTAACATAATCTATTGGACAGTAAGACACAGGTTCGATATCGTGTGAGACAAATTGAAATAAATATTCATAAATTTTATTTGGCTAATAAAATTTATTAATAAATGTTAATAAACTCGGCGTGTAATATGTTGTTTTGGACCGATTCGGGAGTATAATAGTATATTTTTTTTGTGTCGCGATATATTTTGCCCGTATGAACCGTTTGGTAATTTTTTGGTCTGACAGACAGACGCGACAGAAGTTTTTTTTTATAATATGTAGTGATTATTATTATCATTAATCATGTTTTCTATATATTCCGTATAACTTAGTGGAGGTCATGTACTTATTGTAATATAATATTATATTATTGTTTCAGCCTAACGAACTTTACTGTGCCATATCTTAGTTATATAGCGATAATTATGCTTGTGGGCGCCATGTTTGTACTTTACTTGATACCAATGAGATATCTGCTTATGGCGTGGGGTGAGTACTTTTAAAAATATTTAAAAGATTTTTAGTGTATTTTTTAGGTCCGATCCACACTATAGTGCCACTTATGGCTCGTTCTCGGTCTGATAAAGTATTTTTTAACAATAATCAATAAGTGCATTCACACCATCAGTAAGAGTCGAATTCCGGTCGAATCACATTCCAGCAATGTTTCTTGTATAAAAATACTTTAACAGACCAATATCAAACTGTGATCGGCACGGTAGTGTGGATCGGGCCTTAGGTCTCAAGCAACTTAGCATTACCAATATATTTGAGGATGTTATATATGAATTGTTAAGCGTGTGTTTGATTGTTTGATTGTGATTTGCGTAAAAGATTCTTCCGTAAGTATATTGGTAATGGAAAATAATTTTGAGTTCATTTATTTTATAAATTTAAAAGTAATATTTTTTCTAAGAACTATGAATTTTCGTATTTTACCAGTTACCCTTAAAAATACACAATTACATATTAGAAGCAATTTAACTAGCAGATTCCAACGAAATTATATAAATTAATTAAAACATAGTCAACTTTCTAATATTTAATTAACATTCATTACAATTGTTTGAGAATATAAAAGCTACATTTTGAGTTACCTAATAAGTATTTGCATAACTAAAACGTGGGTCATATTTATTATTTAAAGCCTAAAGCCGAAATCAGTATCTTAGTCATTAATATAATTAAGTAGTAATTAATAATATGAATATTTTTTTCAGGTATAAATAAATTTACAAGGAAAATTCTTCGACCACACACGATACCTAATAATGAAGTTTTAGATTTATTATCAAGGGTTCCGGACGATGAAACATTAGTAAGATCCTTTTTTTCATATTATTAATGACTTCGTCATAAAAATAATAATTGCAATAGTGTGCTCATCACAGAATTAATACTCGTATATTATAATATACAATTCATTTTTATTATAATTATATATTACCCGGATAAACAGCTCTAATCATACCAAATTCATCAAAATCTCTCCAGTGGTTTTGTCGTGATGCGGTCACAGACAGCAGACAAAAATTCTAAAAACTATGGATTCGGTCTCTGTATCGATAATAATAACTATTTCACTCAGACCAATAAAATACTTTTTTATTGGTCTGAGCTATTTCAAGAAGATTTTCCAAAAAATATGAACTCCTGATCCCTCTCATACTGAAGCGAGATCCGTGCCCAGTAGTGGGACGATAAAAAAGATCTGTATACATAAATTATACATACTTTAATCGTTTTTTTTTTCTAATTTATTGCTGATTATTTTAGCTGGATGTAAGGGAACTCAAACCGCATCCACCAAGCGAGCACAGACGAGACGCACGAAAAAAACACAAAGCAGCGTAACACAAGATTATTACTAAAATAACAATTAAAAGTATAATATTAATTGTCATACACATTAAGTTTTGTATCACATTCAATTTAGTATTTTTTTATTCATTTTTTGTACAGATACACTTTATTTTAAAAGCCGTTAATTTTTAAAATGTAAAAATCTATGGTTCAGTGTTGCTTGATGTCATCATTTTCTTACATTTTAGTATATTTTGAAAAATATATTTTTGAAATTGAAATAAATTAATAATACAAAGTGACACCACAGATGATATAATAATATATTAGTACTTATACTATAGTACCTGTTTTAACGTCCATTAGGTATTTCGTTATAGTAAGCCGACGTTGTATAGTAAACAAAGTTTTTTTTAATAAATTTAGTTTATTGTGTACTTGTTTAGCTAAACACGAAGGTTGCAAATATAACAACTTGTATTTGTTTAAAGAAGGATTAAAGCTTAAAATGGTAGGATTACGTACATACGGAATAAGTTTCTATGACTGAATAAAAATATACTAAATAATTAAATGGATATAAACAGAAATATTTCCAGATCATATACTAAGAGAAGTACTTCCCTTACCTAGTCATTCATTTAGAAAAAGGTTAAAAACATGTTTTTATATAAAGTTAGATTTTAAGCCTTTTAATATTGCAAATAAAAAAGCCTGTTAACAATGTATGTATATTGTATAACATAGATAATGCCCAGGAAATTATCTTTGTTCGAAATTAATGTAAGCAATGTCAAAAATAATAATATTTTTGCGTGGTATGATCTGTGATTTAAAAGATCTTAGTTTATATTAGTCTTAAGTGGTTAATAATAAAATTGAAATTAGCATTTATTTTCTGTGCAAAACCGTTATTTTTGGTGTAGTTTAACCTACTATAAATTTATAAATTAAATAATGAAGTTATTTTGAAGTCACGTAAATGACTGTAATTATGCTTCCGTTATTTAAATACTTTCCAACAATATGACTTGAATGTTTTAATTTATATTATATAACAGCATCAATAGGTTTCGCTAGTTACCCGTATTAGGTTTGAAGTGCATGCGAAATTAGCATGATAATAAAAATTATTATATATCAATGCATTTAATATAAGAATGTACATAATCCAATTATTAAAGTAGTTAGAATTTTTAAAATGTACCATTGTTTTATATGAAATGTTATATTTTTTGTTAGTGTTTGTATCTCCAAAAATATTAATGACATAAAGCATAATTTTCACTAGTAAAATCACAATAGCATAAGACTGAGACCAATCTCATTAAATGTTAGATTCCATCAAATTAATAAGTAAATACTTTGTATTACAGATTTATATAGTAGTGAATATTTATGAATACAAAAAAAGTCTTTAACTTTCATATTACGTAACAAACTTAAAGCTAACTTACATTAATAAGATTTCCATAGATATCTCGTGATAATCTTTAATCTTTTACAAAAACTAACTGCATTTTGTTCACTATAAAGAAATTATGTAAATTTATAAAAAGAAAAATATTGTTGGCATAGCATTACATAGTTATAGTTCATTTAGAAGTTCACTTTAATAATTGTATTTCGAAATATGCATGCTTACTATTCCATTTTAAACAAAATATTTTGATATAATATTACTAACACGTTCAGTTTATGGAAATGTTCTAAATATCATTTATTTCTATTGGCAGTGAACAGAGATTTCCAATAGAATCACTTGATAAAAGTATCAAAGATGATAGAGTAATTAGCACTGAACAGTAGTACCTTAAACTACAGGGGTAGTTAAGAAAACACGATCTAATCTAAGGAAATCTAATCATAGCCAATATAATACATTATAATTTATATTAAAACATTTTGTTCCCTAATAAACACATTATTTTTACTATGGTAGCACTTAAAAAGCACTTTTTCCACTAAATGCGCACACTACGCACATTTATAACGTAATCTCGAATTGGCAACTTTGCACTGTAATATAATTTTTTAAACGTTAAATGTATTATGAGTTACGACATTTAGTGTAGCTCTTTAAATTTGGGTTAATATTAAGTATTGTATTATGTGAATATTATTTATTTCTTTTTTGTATCATATTGTCTTCCAATTTTGGAACTCTTGAAGCAAAATTAAATGACATCGTCTCATTTTAAACTAGTAGACAATATTATATAAAATTTGGTTATTTTATATAATATTGTTATATAATGTTGTTATTTTATATAAATATTAAATATATATTATTATTTTTATTTATTTTAAATATAATTTATTGTTGGCGCTTATTTTTAATGAAATTTAGCACAAGAACCTCAGCTTTCATTAAAATGATTGTTTAAAGACAAACAGTGATAACTAATGTTGACGCTTTTCATATTTTAAGAAAATTAAAGAATATTATCTACTGATATTGCATTTTATTTTTCATACATGTAATATTAATTTCACAGGTGTAATAAATCTTGAATCAATAAAAAAACAATATTTATCAAAATACTACTACTACATTAAGGTGTAGTCATTTATACCCAAAAAGAAATATGACAGGGAGTAAATACTTGTGATATCCCCAGAAAATCGTAATAAACAAAAACATATACTGTATGGCGACTTTATTCACTAAATATACTTTGTAGCTTTAGTCAGAACCTTCCCTATCTTACAATTAATGGAGCATCGCAGCCCGCAGGGTCGCTTACGTACTGAACCACGTTAGCAGCTCTCGGGGATAGCTTGCCGACAGTGACAGCGAGGCAGTTGGCAGATCTCCTACGAGCTTCTACAACATTAGAAAAGTGCCAGTAACCCTAACCCACCGTCTCCCAGTTTTTCTCTCAGCTTCACTGGGTTGGATTGCCGGCCGTTACCGAAACTCTTGGAGTACTGACTAAAATTATTCTTTTTATATAAAAAGTCTTATTTTTAATATCACACCAGACACCTATAATCTTCTTATTCGAATTATTTACTAATAAGCGTTAAAGCATCTTTTTGCTTCTTTAACAATTAATTTAAAAACCTTTATTATTATCTTAGTGTACTTTGTTTTCCAATTTACATCATACAATAAGTTTTAACTTATAAATTATTATTTTTTTAAAAGAAAATTAAAGTATAATTTTCCGTAGTATGTAAATATGTGTTTCCAAAGTTTGAAGTATTATATTTGCATTATTTATAGTATAATTTATTTGCTAATTGGCTTATTAGTCCACATATATGAATACGAAAACGCATTTTTGTTGACTATGATGTATTTTTTAACAACTATTATAAAACGTACAAAATCTAGGTACTTCATAGTAACAATAATGACTTTTGTATATAGTAACAGTGTCCTAACAATATAGTAGAATAGTAGTATTAATTATTTTTATATGGCAGCACTTACGAGCCACCATTGTCAATTTGCTTTCTGTCATTTCATTGACCATTGTCAATGAGTCGTGGCCGTCGGACTCGTGCCAAATACATTTCCATACACCCCAGACCAATCTTAAACAAAAATGACTTCCAAATTACAAGAATATAAAGCCTCGATAGAGCGCAGCTTAAATGACAAAAGCAATCCGTGGGCAAAATACTTTGAAATAGCTGAACAAAAGACCGGTGTGAACAGGGTATATATATTTATTGGTAAGTTTCCTTTTTTTCTTATTCAGTTTATTTATATCTTTAGCAATTATTTGACGTTTATTTTCTCGCAGGCTTGGTCGCGTTCACCGGTTTATATTTAGTGTTTGGATTCGGCGCGGAGTTGATATGCAATTCTATAGGATTCGTTTACCCAGCGTACATGTCAATGAAGGCGTTAGAGTCGCCAATGAAAGACGATGATACTAAGTGGCTGACGTACTGGGTGGTATACGCATGTTTCTCAATCGTCGAGTACTTTTCCGATTTTATTGTTGGATGGTTCCCACTATACTGGCTGATCAAGGTTAGTTGATACAATACTAATAATTTAAATTTGACCATGTGGTAAACTGACACATATTTTTCTAAACATTTTTTTCTGTTATCTATTCATTAATGTTATCCACAAACTTCACATTAAACTTACTGATTTCATTTAGGTAATTATGTTAATGACTCATTATTATAGCATTAATAGAAAAAAATGATTAAAAAGTTCAAATGAGAATTTTATATATGAGTCATAGATAAAAAGTTACAATCCATAATAATATAAATGTGAATGTTTGTTTGTCCTTTCACATTGAAAGGGAGTGACGGATTGGCATGATTTTTTGTGTGGAGATAGTTGAAGGGCTGGAGAGTGACATAGGCTTCTTTTTACCATGGGAGATTATCTGATTCCTGTAGGAAAACACGTTATAATATAACCAAAAAAATTATTTATCTTCTAGTAATTTTATAAATGGAAAATGCATTCTTGTATTGTATCTCTACTTTCATATTGCTCATATTGTTATATTATTCCTTATTAACATTGTAAACTCAATCATGCATATCTTTAATCAATATGTCTACAATAAGACTTTGCATGGTGATACATATTAGTTTGATAAACTAGACTAGTAAACTCTTATTGTTGGTGTTATCTTTGATAAACTTCATCTATCATTTCTTATTTATCTTTATGAGTTACTTATGTAATACTTATCTATAACTTTCAAGTGTGTTATCTGTTTTGTTAATTTAAATGAGACTATTCAAAAATTTGCTTATTGAAATACTTTCAAAAACATTGTGCTCTGTATAGAATATTTATCTGAATTAGTGTTGTAATTTTTTAAATGTTCAAATTACTTGCAATGACCACATTAATAGATGCTAATAGCTGTTAACAATAATTTTCTTACATGAAATAAAATAATTGTTTTTTTCTTGAAATGTTGTAATGGAGAATGCTTGTAATTGAATATAATCCCTCCATATACTCACTCCGGCGTTACAGTTAGCAATATATTACTTAGGAATTTAATTAATTTCTTAGAAATTTACCTGGGGGGGTTAATTTATCAATCCTTTTACAAATACAGAGTTGTGACATATGGAATCAAATTTTTAGCTATTTTTGTTCTGTTACACCCAATAAGTTTAATGAATTTAAATTTTTGTACTCAATGGGTGAATTTGGGCAGCCAGCCATGAACAAAATATGTACAAAAATTCAGTAAATGATTTTTTTTTAAGTTATTGTGACAACTGCTTTCAATGTTGTTTCAAAGGATTTAATCTGACAATGAACTTAATTATAATGTAGAAACTGGATGTTTTTATTTAAATTTGTATTTCTCTCTTCTTTAGCCCTCAAAACATAATGTAACAAAAAAGCATATAATATGTAAGTCATTTTAAACTCATAAGCTTATGTCACACTCACCCATATCATCTAATTGCCAGGAACAATTCCATTAAATCCAGTTTGGCAATTATGGAGATTTTTTTAATTAGTATAGTTTTTTAACCAACTTCCAAAAAAGAGCAGGTTCTCAATATGTCGGAATCTTTGTTCTTTTTGGAGGATTAGTATTGTGCAAATCTCAGTGAGGTGATACAAACAATTTATTCAAATGCATAATTGCACTCTCCATTCTTTTCAATCTCAAAGTTACAGTTGAAATCAGGTACAAAACTGGACAGGCTTTAAATGCTTATCCTCGCTTGAGGGGTGGATAACCAAAAACTTCTCACTTCCCACCATCACAGAACTACTGAGAATTTATAATTTAGAAATCCCAATAAATATACCTGGCCTGCCTGGAACTCAAACCCAGGGCTTTGGGATCTGCAGCCAAACATGCTGGTCTTTAGACCAACGATGTAGTTGTAAATGTTTACTCAGTATCTAATGTAATTAAAACATCATTTAGCATGAGAATGGTAAACCATTGTATTGAGATTTGGTTCAGGGGCATGCACTAGGGCTAGGTGTATATAATTTGTTCTAACATATAGTAATTTCACAGGTTAAGGTTGGAAAAATACTTAGCAATCATTTGAATATGTAAACATAATATTTTATATTGTTATAACACTTCCATGTTCCATTAAAGCAAAACTTTCAATGATTTGATTAAAATTCGAAATAGATGTTGCTTAAGTACACCTTGAATTAACATAAAGGTTTTTATCTAAATAGGTACTTAGATAGTACTACCATGCAAGCAGAGCCACGGGTAAAAAGTAGTATTTATGTAACAATTTTGTGCGATATTATAATGATTTTATTACATGTGTATTAAATAATGAACGGCTGTAGGAAAATTAATCAATAAGCAACTTTGTTCATTCTACCTCTGTATTGAAGAACAAGTTTTGCATTCTCGCTCTATGTACTAATAGGTATACAGTTGTTCTTCAGTTAATTATAGAAGCTATTACTGTGGTAAAGATAAAATGTGTTTGTTCTCATATACGGCTTGTGACGAATGCATCATTATTTTTTAATAAAATTGTAATTAACCTATGGTCAATTTTAGTTAGTAAGATACAATTAAATATAGTAAGACATGAAACATATTATACATACATATCTATACATATAATAAAACTGTAGAGGTCGAATGTCTGTACATAGAAAAAAATGCTTAAAATCGAGTCAGGGGGATGGAAGAAGAGAAATAGAACAAATCCATATTTCTTTCAATTTTTTTGTTTCTCTGTCTATTTGTCTGTTTGTACGGGTTAATCGCCGAAACTGTTGGAACGATTTAAATGAAATTTTGCATGGTGGTACCTTATATCCCCGGTCAACATTTTAGGTACTTTTTATCTCGTAAAATTAAAGAATTCCCGTTGGGATAGTTAAAAAGCTATAGTAACTTATACAGCTTACTCCACAACAACTTATGCGCCTTATTTAGTAAAATATGACATGCTGAGAACTTTACTGTTTATCCCGGAAAAATGAACGTTTCCCGTGTGATAGATCTGTATATACATACCTTAATTTTGGCCAGATATTAACTGGTAAAATGTTTCAAACTAAACAATACATTATATAAAAAAGTCATTTTGGAACATATTTTTTGATATCAGTTCGATCTAATCCTTCAGACATGACCTAAGTCTATTTTGAATTTATTAACTACTTTGCACTTCCTACAACGCGCATTCGTAACTTCATTACTAATTTAATTCAAATGAGTGTGCGCGTCGACATTTCACATGGCAATTTTGTACCCAGACATCGTTATTTATCTCAGAATCTGTGAAAATTACCACTTGGATATATGGGGAAATGATACTTCGGACTTTTATCTTGAATTGCCAAATTTGAAAACACGATTGGTGAAAATTTTCTCGATTTAGTTTTTTAATAATACATTTTTTTGCACACTTATTGCTATTTATCTCAGAAACAGCTCACTATTTCTGTAGGATTTTTGTTTTGTCAGGAAGCCTAGAAGTAGATATTTCTTCAGTTATCGAATTTAATTTTTCGATTGCTTGTTTAATTAATTTATTGTGAACTAAAAACTATTTTGGCGCTTAAATACGTTGAGCAACTATCAAACGCTCTTTCCTTTTCACTCACGAGAGAACATTATCTTGTCATCTCGCTCCTCCGAATCCAAATCGTAACGGTTTCATTACAAACTCATAACAGTATATAACATTATTAAAGTAATATTTTTAACATTATACTCTTACAAATTGTGTAAAGTAAAACGTAAAGGAGCTATCTATAGATCTATAGATGCTTTATCAATGGAAATGTTTAAAATTAAAGATATTATTTATATTCCATCCGAACATTCCATGTAAACAATTTTTCAGATATGACTTAATAATCTATACATATAATAAAATTGTAACTAAGCCGAATCTGTACATTAAATATTTTTTGGAAAATCTTATTGAAATAAACATTATATCGAATATCGATACAGAGGCCGAATCTATAGGTTTTAGAATTTTTGTCTGTCTGTCTGTTACCGCATCATAGAAAAACCACCACATATAGGGTACTTTTTACCGCGGCAAAATATCTCATTTTTGAGAAAAAATACAAAAACTGCAATGTAAGAGTATACTAACATGTAAAACCTAAGAATTTGGTTTTTGGTCATCTGAACACGGGCGGAGCCACGGGCAATGCTAGTTTTAATATATACACAGAATTTAAATAAAATTGCTGCAATGAAATTCGAACCTGTAATGATATTATAGAAAGTGTTGATCCTTCTGTAGTGACGATATGTATTGTCACTGAAATACAATCTGCAAAAAACGCCAATCAACCGATGCGTGAAGGACAAACTAACAATATGTATACCTTCTTTCGAATTTATAATATTACTAGCAGAACCCGCGGCTTCGCTCTCGCTAAAACTACAAAAAAAAACTCGAAAAAAGTAGCTTTCATACAAACTTTCATCCCCTATTTCACCCCCTTATTGGATGAATTTAAAAAAATGCTAAAACACGTATTTATTTAATTGTATTGAAGAGAATTATTACTAAGAATTTTGATCATAAATATAATTTTTTTTGGATTGTAATAAAACGTGTTTCCTGTGAGATTGGATAATCTCCCGCGATAAAAGGAGCCTATGTCACTCTCCAGCCCTCCAACTATTTCCCACACAAAAAATCACACCAACCCGTCATTCCGTTTCCACGTGAAAGAAGGACAAACAAACAAACAAACACACTTTCACATTTTATAATATTAGTATAGATTAAGAATAAATATTATTTAATAATTCCAGTGTATCTTCGTAATCTGGTGCTACTTGCCAACGGACTACAACGGCTCCTTGATCATCTACCATCGTATCATTCGTCCGTACTACCAGAAACATCACGGCCGTATCGATGATATTGCCAACTCAGGTAAATAAAAGGAACTTCGGCTAAAATTTTATTTCATTAAAAAATACGGCCACGGTAATTATTTACATTTTTAAATTATTTTATTCTTATTTCACATATTTTTGTTTTAAATTTGCTTGTAAATAATCTAAAATTGGATTGGATGGAAGTTTGGAGATTGGGTTTATATTTGGTTTTTAAAATAGTTAAAAAATAAAAAAATGCTAAGAATATAGAAGACAGTATAAAAGGAAATGGGCCACAAATAACTTTATTATTTAAATTAAGGCTAATACTTTAAATATCCACTTTTGATATTCCAAATACAGAATATTTTGTCGACAGAAAAAGATATTTTGGGAGAATTGGTTAAAAACGCCAACAAGCATATGGATAAAACAATGAAAGCGTTCAATCAGAGATTATCTGAACTACACAAAGATTAATTTTATACTTTGGTAGGTATTCAAAGGGAAATTGCAGTATGCTTCATAAGCCTAAACAATACACATGCTTGCTACTTTGCTTCCACTAAGTCCATTTTTTTAATTAATTATCCTTTTTTTATAATTATAATTATAGGGGCATTTATATGTTATAACTTGTAAGGCAGTAATTTCATAAGCCGTTGGTTATTCATATTCATTAATTTATCTTCCCCTAGTGGCAAAGAAACTAGAAGTAAATAAAATTTGGTCATAATAATTTTCATAGTTAATGATTTTACTCAGATATATATAGTATATACAAATAAGTAAAATTAATGTGTGTTTTTATTATCAAAGTTATAGCTTTTTACTAAATGCATTCGAAAGTATTAATGGTACTTATTAGAAAAAAAAATTAAAACTTGTCTGTCTGTCTGTTTGTTCCGGCTAATCTCCGAAACGGCCGGACCAATTTTGACGGGACTTTCACTGGTAGATAGTTGACATCTAAGGAGTATTATTTTGCAAAAATAATTTGGGTTGTTAGCAAAAAATTAAAATTCATGTAATTGTGTACAGAGTCCGCGCATCTAGGGAAGAAGTACCCGAGCGAAGCCAGTGTAAGTCGGTTCTTATAAATACCGTATATACTTTCATATACATTTAGTAAAAAAATGTTATTTTTAAATTACAAACAGACACTTATTTTTTGTTTATTTGTAAAGATAAATCCGTTCTCTAAAAGTGACTCATGTATACATACTTAATTGGAATAATTCAAAAGTGGATGTACGTATCTCCTATATTGGTCTCCTTTTCCTTTCACTGTATATACTTCATTGGGCGATAAAAACTGTACTGCATGTTAGTTAATCACCCCGCTTATGGTGCAATTATATATTTATATATGCATTTGAAAACATTTTTTGTTAATTTGATTATAAATGGTTCTTTTTTATGGAGGAGTATTACTAAATATCTCGTCTCGTATTTTTTTATTCGTCTATAGAATTTATTTTACAGGGGACTTAAGGCGCTTATTATCTAAGCTTATTTATAATATCTTATTTGAATTTAGTTTTTTTTTATTTTAATGAAAAAATAAGTAAAAACTATTTTAATTTCAACAATTATAAGTAATTATCTTCGTTATAAAAACAGTAAACATCGACGAGTTGGTACAAGATATTAATAGGAAGATAAATACCTCAATGAAAAGAATGACAGATTGATTTTTTTTTACAATGTACGTTATTTTTTTTAATTTTTGTAGGCACTGTAGGTAGTATTTTAAGTTTTAGATGATAAAAAAACAGTTGTTATTCTTTACTATAAAAAAATTCTTTGTGAAAAAACCAAACTATAGTCATAGACAATCATACATTTTTTTTTTTGGTATTTTGTTAGTCTGTGAAGTATTTTGTAATTTATTACATATATTTATTTAGTTCTTTTTTTTGTTTCATTGCCATTGTTTTGTTATTGTCACTCAATTTCCATAGCACGCATATTTTAAAGAACCCCATGATTTTAGGTAAACAAGAATAGAGCTGTACCCGTATGAATATGTAAGTAAAACCATATTGAATGGTAACGCGTTATGTCGCTTGATATTATCGCCTTTATACTACTAAAATATTTGTCTGTGTATGTATATACTAATAAGCTGAAGTGCTTCAATGCCTTAATTACGCTTTAAACTTTTATCTCATGCAAAATGGTAAACTATAAAAAAATATGTCATTTTATGTTAAATCTTCATCCACTAATGTTTTTTTTTAATTTATAAATTTATTTGGAAAAGGCAAAGGACTTAGAACATACAGCCTTTTCGAATGAAGTTGTCATAATATGTATTTATTATCGCTATTGACATGAATTAAAAACTTATATGTATATATTATGTGTATTAAAAACAGACTATAATAACCTTATATTAAAATTAACATTAAAACTATTGAAAAATGTATGTAAATTTATCATAGGTTTTAGGTACTATTTATTTTCTGCCAAATTTTTAAAACGAATATCGCTTTACACTTTGATAAAACATTGAAATAAGATTATCAAGTTATTAAAAAGAATTATATACTTTATTTATTTATATTTTTTTTATTTTTAGTAATTATTTGCATTTGATTTAGGGATTGAATCATTTAATTGGGTTTCATTAATAAATAAGATTAATTATAATGCAGTTTCGTTGTATATTTAAGAAGTGTAACATTCGTAGTCTTAATATTATGTTATGTAGTTATTTTAGCGAATAAATGAATTTCTTTGGTACTTAGACATTCATGTTTTTAAATTTAAATACTAGTAAATTAGATTTATATTACATTTTGAAGACAATAATAATATTAATTTATTATTTTCTATAGATTAAATGTACATTTTTTGTATTACAGCATCCCGTTTGGTAGCAGATGCAGTCAGGAAGAGCAACTAAATTCAGATTGATGAATGAAATTTCTAATTACATGTAAATCTATAAGTACAAAAAACATAGCATCCGCTTCTGTACACGCTTCTGAGCACTCACCAATATTAAAAAAAAAGAAAAATCATAAACAAAAAATATTTTTTATACATCGAATGTATATGACTAACAAAATCTCGGTACAGCCTCAATAAAATGTCTTAAATAAACTTTTCATATGGCACTTGTATTATTTAGTTAAGAGTTTTTTGTATGACTGTGTTTGTCGGTCGGTTTTTAAGACGCTTAGTTTAAATTGTAGTTTAACTCTCTTTTTTTCCTCTATGACTAAAATCTGCACAGGTTTCAAGTTTACGGTTTAGGTACCTAAGTGTCTGGTATTCTTTCTTATTATTTAAGTTGTTCCGAACAATGGATTCTTGTTTCAAATAGATTGATTTGCTCAAGGAATGTTAGTATTTGTTAAGTTTTCAAATGACCAAACGTTATTTTTTTTAGATGTTGTTTTAATATTCGCACTGTTGATGACGTCATTATGCATTTAAATTTAGATGCACTATTTTTATAAATTGATAGCTAATAGTTTTAAATTAAGGAATCATGTAACCGTTTCGCGAATTCTGCTTAAATCCATATTAGTGTGCCTTCAACGTTTTGGCTGCCAATTATATTATAATATGTATTCACGAGGTATTGTTATGGCGTTTTTTCAAGTAATAAAAAGGATTCATTGTATTTTGTGTGTTTTTTTTATCTTCTTGATTACATATTTGAATTATTTATTTAAGACTCACAAATTATAAACAAATCTTTACTGTTAAATTAATTTTTGATTTGAAAACTATATCCTATTTTTTAATAAGTTCAAAAAAAATAGATTAAATTGCTCAAGAAATTGCCAGTTTTTATTGCAGTGTCAGGCAATATAAATTATAATAAATCAAATTAGTATTGGATAATAAAAGAAGCTCGAAAAGGAACTTAAAATAATGACTACTGACAAAAACGTTCGCATTTCGCTACTTATTCCAATTTTTCGTCAATCATGACTTATCTGTAAGCCAAAATTGTCTTGTCTCATAAAATCGAACTTGTGACCTACAACCTGAGCATGTTTACATATAATTTCATATATTTTATTTTTTCAGGAAAATGCCCTATGTGTCACATCACATTGACAACTACATAAGATGTGATTAACTTCTCCAAAAGAAACCCTTGAAATAGTTGAAAATAGTTAAGAACATAATGTATGAAATCGAGTCCAGTAAATTTATAATTAAAGTAAAAGAGATTATTTTTATTTATTTTTAGGTAGGTTAAATCATACATTTTAATCATGGATTAACAATGTCCTAGTGTCTTTAAAGACTGAAGTATTTTAAAATTGATCCCTCATTCTTAGGTTGTACAAAATTGCCTTTTGAAATGAAAACTTCTATATGCAGGTTTGGATGGGGAGTAAATAAAGTCATCATCGACATATTGAACATTATTGAAATTAATAAAACCCATTATATAAATCTAACATTTACTTCCTAAAATTCTAATATTAAATATTATTCTTATGAATTATTACTCTCAGCGGCTTTCGCCTCTTCGGCTTCTTTGGCTAATCTTTCCTGTTCTGTTTTTCTATTTCTCCAAGCTGTCATATATGATCGTGGGTGAATGGGAAAGAAACCAGCTAGTCCTGGAAAAAAATAATATTGAGTACCTATTTAATGTAATTAATATTTTTTGTATTAAAATGTAATTAATAATTAAATAAACTAACATTTTACCAGCAAGTGATATATTAGGTGCAGTAAAGTCTAGGTCTCAGCAAGAGATTGTATTCATTTTAAGTTCTTTAAACTAAAATTGTTTGTCGAGCAATATTTACCACATTGAAATCTTAGAGTTAAATGTTTTTAGCCATTTTTACGTGAAAATATACTAGATTGTATTAAAATATGTATTTACTCAATTTATTAATAGGCACTTTAAATAAATGTTTTACCAAATAGTTCAGCAACTGGAGGAGTAACGTGAGCTCCATGGCCGAGCCAGTATTTTATCCTTTCTAAATTTAGGGCAACAAGCTTTTCATTATACATATTGGGCATTGGATCATATGAACCAAGTTGTTCAATAACTGCTTGGCTATTTAATCTTTTTCTCTGTAAAAATAATAAATTAACTGTTTAGTATAATATAAAAGAATAGTTAATAAATAACAAACAAAAACATATTTGAATTTGAACAGAAAAGAAATTATAAATAAATATTTGTTCTATAATAACATTATAAAATGTTTTTTAAATTCTTTATTTATTAATGAGTAAACCTGTAATACTAACATGAGTAACAGAAATATGAAAGAAAGGCCTATTAGTGCATCCCTGACGAATCAATCGAATAGACTTGGCTGCTTTTGCAAAATATCGACCAGTTCCACTCGCTGGTGGTAGAGGCATGTTGTGTTCTATTAATTATGTTTAAAAAATAAAATATTGCAATTTGCTATAACCTAAACACGAATTTGGATCTTTCACGAAATGTCAAAATTGACAATTGACATCACTGAACACCATAGACTATAGAGTGTAGATAAAAATTAAATAATCTATAAACAAAAGTGTCATTTAAATCTGTAGAAATAAATATAAAATGGTATTTGGTACTCGCATCATTTGAAAACGGCAGGGCCGATGTAGCTGTTTTTTTAAGGTCGTCAGATTCGCTGTTTAATAACATAGAAGAAATTGCAAAAAATATGATTTATCTATTTCAAAATTCAGGTATTCATTTATATTCCATAAATTAGAAATACAAGCCTTTTAACAGCCGCTATAAGGCGAGAGTGGTGATCATATTATATCTACCCTTCTTAAAGCAAGCACATAATATTGTTACATATGATATAGATTAATAATTCTATCCCTCAAGTTGCATCCATGGCTTTACGACAAATTTTATACATTTTTAATATTTGCAATAAATTTGATATATTTTTAGTTATAATATTATAGACATACTCACAAACTATACAGGTTTCCTTTGAGTGAAACTTGATATTTTCAGTGTTTAAGACACTTTTCTTACATGAACTGTGCGTTTGTTACACGATGTTAGAGTCGATATGTATAATTTATAAGATTTCATTGTTTTCTTCAATTCTAAGACACAATGTTTGTTCGAGAGATTTTATCCTTCCCATAGACTCTATCGATTAATTCGAGAAAATAGTCACGGTGTCCTTTTTTGCATTTTTATTTGGTTCGATTCCCGGTTCATGTAAGCTTTTTTTTTAAATCTTGTTATTATTATTTTTAAAAATAAAGAAATGTTTTCTTTGAGTAAATCTTGATAACTTCAACATTTAAGGTACTTTTCTTCCATATCCCATCGATTTGTTCCATCCTGTATAGAAATGCTATACGGTAGAGTAGAGTTATATGTTGGTTATAAAATTAATTAATATAATATGTACGTTTAATTTATTGTTATTTTTTAACCGACTTCCAAAAATGAGGAGGTTCTCAATTCGTCGGAATCTTTTTTTTATGTATGTTCACCCGACGAAGACGCCTGAACCGATTTGGATATTTTTTTTATTCCGAAAGGTATATTTTTATTCCGAAAATATTTTAAGATACGAATATCTAATAGGTAAATATGATTATGTTTGAACTTTAATATAGTTAAAATATTATACACCAATTTGTGATGTATTTTACGTATCGAAATATATTAGGTTTGCTTTGCATCGGCTGGCACAGACTTCGAAAATATCTGATTAGGTATCTATTCTAAATGAACCCCCCCGTTTAATTATTAGGTGCTTATTGAGCATAATATACTTCTAACTCATATATGCTTCTAATATGTATAATATATGTATATTTTATACCTATAATTCACAACTTACGTCACATTTTTAAAACATGCTGTGGCATTAATGATGTAGCTCTTACCTATATAATTTTTATGAATAATCATTTTCCTTGACCTTAGATAACAAGTATGACCTAGTAACGCTTAACAGCCTATCCCATAAAAGGCTGTAAATTTATAATTTTCATTAATAAAACCCTTGTTAAGAATCTAGTCGGTAAACAGTCGGTTAAACGGACGCACTGTGTGGTACACTATATATTTAACGGATATGTATATGTTAGAAACAAGATTGTGATTCCTATTATTTCCGGGAAGTCATTTGCATAGTTATTAACTTTATTTCCTTATTGTTGAAGGTTCTGAGTTGTTATTTTTTAAAAGAAAATCTATTATTTTTATTATATAGACTATTATAGAGCAACGGATAGGTATTTTGTTTTTCGACAAACGAAACATTTGTATTCGATCATTTTTATTCTTTCAAGTTTTATAGTCCCGTAGTATTTATAGGAGCCTAAGGATGTTGTAATAAGATTATATAGTAATACCTACTTGCTTTTTTTTTTATATTTCTTAAAACCTTTTTTTTAACGTTTTGTGTGTATTAAATGTATTTACGCTTACCACCTGCATACAAACGTTATATAATAATAATAAATAAATAAATAAATAAAAATAAACCAAGACGCCTCAACGGCAGGATTACCGAAGTCCACAGCAACCAAGGGGTTGCCTCCACACTCCACTATGCTATCAGTGAAGTACCAGGAGCAACCCACATGGTACATCGCCCACGAGGCGGGTCTCCTCCCATTGTACCTCTTGGCGTCAATCCCGGGTGGATCAGACGCTAATGACCACCACCCCCCTCCCCCCTCCCCCCACTAAGATAAGGTGAACACACATAACTTTAAATGTAGATAAAATTGTAATGGATACAGTCCAACATTAAAACAAACAACATTTTTTTGTTTCTCGATGGGTAAAATAACAAAATGTTAGGAAATATAAGCGTTGCGTGACCTATAATGTTTACATTGATAATAATACCTTCTAATTCTGTTTGTTTATTCCGTTTACACGGTCAATTGAACCGATGTGCCGGTTTTAATATTTAGCATAACTTTTATCCCGAAAGAAAGAAAGAGATCTCACGAGATGAAATCTTTAAAATTTTTTTTAGGTTGATATGAGTTAGGTATACGTACTCGTAGGTAAGTGTAGATTTTTTTATGCCACATAATGCATTCGCCATTGACTTTGCTTGCCTGTTATGCCTTTCTTTTTTATGTTCAAGAAAATAGTTTTTGTCTACACGGATTACGGAGCACTGAAAAATATTATTTTTACTGCTATATTTTTAAGTTTTAAAATAATTTACTCTACCTACATGTCTGTTTAATAAGACTACGTTTGCCGTGCATATAGTTTTTTTACGTTGGAAAATAGGCACATTAACGTTTACGCATACTTACCACCTATAATATACAGCTGGTGATTACGTGGGAATCACTGGTTAGCAAGTACTACCCACTAAAACCCATCAGAACCTACCCCGTCTTAATGGGGCGTCACAGAATTGCTTACGCACTCAACGACCGAATGGTTACTCTCACGGTCAACTCTGCTGACAGAGAAGTACAAGAGCAACCCGCATGGTACACCGCCCACCGAAGTGGACCACCTTCCTGCACGTTTCTTGACACAGAGCAAATAAATTTGTATTTTTTTTTCATTATTATGATTTAAGAGGTGTTTATAAGACAAATTACAAATTAAAAGAATGCTGTTTATCGCATTCGTGACATAATTCAGTAAGTAGTTTATAAAATGATTCGTTGTGACTTGTGAGTCATAAAGAGACTGAAAGTGTAAAGGATATTTTTTATGACGAATATTATAATTACAACACTAAAGTACGCTCTGTCTTTTCTTATTCACAAGAAATATGGAACATAAAATTATTAAAAATACAAAATATCGAAAACCCCTATTTTTTATTCCCATTCCAAAAAGGGTTCTCCACAGGGTTGCGACTCACTCTTGACACTTTATTTAAGTGAAGTCATTTAATATTCACTCTAATGTAATGCTTTTACCCATTCTCGTGAACTTGGCTAACGTTTCATAACAAGAAATTGGACAATTGTTAGTATGTTAATTCTAAATTGCACTTAAGTGTCTATATTTTTGCAAAGACCAAACAATGTGTTATTCACTACTAATATAAATACGGAAGTATGTATGTTTATATATGTTTGTTATTCTGTCAGGTTGAAACGTCTGGACGGTTTTGGATAGAATATAGCACACAGATAGACTATACCCTGGAGAAACACATAGGAAACTGTTACTAATTAAATTTGTCAAAATATGGTGTTGCCTGTACATTCATTATCTTATTTTGCTACTATATAATGCGAATGTTTGGATGGATGGATGTTAGTTACTCAATCACGCCAGAACAGCTGAACGGATCTGGATGAAATTTGGCACAGAAATAGATTATAGTGTGGAATAGCACACGGGTTAGTTTTTATCCTGGAGAATGTACTGTTTACGTGGGATACATCTATTTTTGTTTTTCACTAGGGACGAACCCAAACGAAGTTGGGGTGAGTTGTTAGTAATTCATATTATAAATACAAAAGACGCCTAGGGACTATCACGACCGAAGCGACAGTTAGTCGCTATTAAAAAAATAATTAAGAATAATAATAAATAATAATTAAATATTAAACATTATTTATGATGAATAATAAGTAGAGATGTGCCGACTAGTCGTCGACTAGTCGACAAAGCCGACTAGTCGGCCACTTTTGTAGTCGGCAACTAGTCGGCGAATAGTCGGCAAAAAGGGCCGACTAGTCGGCTTCTTACTTTGTACGTATTTTTTAATCAATCCATCAAAATATACTTTATTCAAATAGACTTTTACAAGCTCTTATTTGAAAATAAATATTTTACATTAAATATCTGTGTGTAAGTCCGTGAGGAAACTAATAAAATATATGTATTTACAGCCCTTTTTCATGTTAGAAATGATTCGCACATGAAAATATCAGATGTGCGAGACAGATATTGAACCCGCATTACTCGGTTATCCACGCGAGCGTGTCACTGGGCTATCACTGTCGCTATAGCTAGAGAGCCAGCTTAAATCTGACAACACATATTTTACGATACCTGAAATTTTGTCCAGCTATACTGCTATACCCACTGAACAAGCAATGGGTACTAGCTAAGCCCGACCGCGGAATTTATATTAATGATTTGCCATTTTTTGTACAGGACAAACATGAGATAGTATTGTTCGCTGATGACACGCAATTCGCTAATGTACGACAATGTAAATGATGCTCTCTCAAAGGTTGTCTATTGGTTTGATTCAAATAATTTATTATTAAATAATAAAAAGACAAAATTAATAAAATTCTCAACACCTAATGTCAAACTTGTTGATGATGGTGTAATATTAAATGCGAAGTATTAAAACCTGTAGAGTCCACTAAATTCCTAGGTATTATCATAGATTCGAAATTGCAGTGGGGCCCCCATATTGAGGGGCTAGCGAGTAGACTCAGCTCTGCAGCGATCGCGGTAAAAAAATAAGACTTCTTACTGATGTAGATACAGCTCGCATAATATATTTTAGTTATTTTCATAGTATTATGTCTTATGGTATCTTACTATGGGGAAATGCAGTTGCTATTAATACAATTTTTGTCCTGCAGAAAAGAGCTATTCGTGCAATTTATTGTTTAGGTCCTAGAGTGATTAAGAGATAAGTTTAAAGAAATAAAAATATTGACTGTTGCTTTTCAATACGTGTACGAAAATTTTAAGTATGTCCGTATATACACGAATTTTCCAATAAGTGTGACATGCATAACATTAATACTAGGAGCAAACACAAACTTGTAATGCCTGTGACTCGTCTACAAAGAGTCAGTAATTCTTTTTATGGACAATGTATACGTTTGTACAACAGGATCCCAGAAAATGTTCAAAAGGCTTCTATCGCCAAATTCAAAAAAAATGTTAAAGAACATTTGTGTGCTAAAGGCTATTATACAATAAATGATTTTATAGAAAATGGCACACCTTGGGAATGAAATGATCCTCCGGCTACTTCAACTTGATAGAAATATTGTAAATTATAATTTTACTTTTAAAAAAGATAACAAGTTAATATTAGTCCCACTGAGTTTCTTTCGCCAGTTCTTCTCAGGTCTGAGGCTTCTTCTTTCCGAACTGGTAGTGGACTCACGACGTTCAGTAAAAAATTGTAATAATGTAATGCTGAATAAAATATTTTGAATTTTGAATTGAAGTTGACGGAATAGGTACTGTTGAAGGTAGTTCTGCTTGGATTTGCGATTGCGAGAAATCGTCTGTGGTCGAACATTTTATCGAAGAACTTAACTGAGGTATCAGGCTTGGATGTCAGTATTTAATATGGTTGTTCATAGTTGTAGTATTAGCTGTATTCCTATGCCCACCACGAGAAATTATCATTTGGCATTGGTTACACTTGACTTTGCAGGAATCATTGTCCAATTGTTCAAAAAAAAAACAAAAGCACTAAAAAGTCAAAAATAACTAATTGGTAGTTTTCATTTACTATACATACCTAATCAAATATTTTCGAAGTCGGTGTGCTTTGCTTTGTATGGGCTGGCACCGATTTCGAAAATATTTGATTAGGTACGTATAGTAAATGAAAACTACCAATTAGTTATTTTTTACTTTTTAATGCTTTTGTTCGAAGTCGGTTTTTATTATTTTGTTTAAAAGTTTTTATTTTTCTCTTTTTAGTGTAGATAGTAGTAGCAAAGTAAGAATTCTAACGTGTTAAGCTTGTCAAATCAAACAAAATAAGCCGACACTCAAAGTATCTACTATTAGCCGTTGAAGAGTTCCACCTATCCATCTTCTGGACTTACCATCAGATCAGGTCAACAATACCGAACCACTGTACTATCAACGGAAATAGAAACACTTGCAAAGTTTCAAGTCAATATGACAATTAGAAGTAGGTTAAATTCATCATTAGCTATTTTTCCACCCTTAGGGGTGGTATTTTTTTTTGAAATTTAAATAGGACCAATCTGGAAGTATATACTTTCAATCAACACAAAAATTGTCCAAATCGGTTAATAAATGACGGAGTTCTGAGGTAACAAACATAAAAAAAAATACAGTCGAATTGAGAACCTCCTCCTTTTTGAAGTCGGTTGATAATGTATATACGAGACTTTCTTTTTGACATTATTAAATTTTAATTAAACTTTTACACTTTAATGAACAATAACACTATTAACTTAACAAAAAAATATTTTTTACACAAAAAAGCGCTCTGACCTGCGGGTCACTGACTGATTGCGCACAACAGCAAAATTCAAGAAACAATGCGAAGTAAACAAAACAGATTCTGACAAGTTCGCGGGCGGCGGCTGCGACTTGAGCGCGAATGAGTGGTATACGAAGCATCAGGGAAATCCCCTGAAACAATGATCGGCTTGGCCGACTAGTCGGCCTCTTTACAGCCGACTAGTCGGCTAGTCGGCTAGTCGGCCTAAGTCGTAGTCGGCACATCTCTAATAATAAGTAACTCAAAAGGCTCCATAATTGAATTAAAGATGAAAATACAAAATGACGGCGAAGTTGTGACCTTCTGACCGCCGTTCTAGAGTAATTAAGCTGTTTAGTTATAACGAGTCTCGTTATCTTCAGAGCGCAATCAATTAAGTGTAGCGTTCGCCTGCTTCGTTGTATACGTTCGTAGGTACATTTTTTTTAAATTAAAAAATAAATTTAGAAATATTTTTTATTAATTCCTTTTACCAAAAAAATGGTATATTTTTTTATCTTCTACGCTAATTTTATAAACAGGTAAAATTTGTAAGTTTGTGAGTTTGTTTGTAGGAAGTAATTTTTGGAACTACTAAACCGATTTGGATGAAATTTGCTATGAAGATACTTTGAGGTCCTGGAATCAATAATTTTTCGAGTAAGAGTTATGAAATTGAATCATACCATAAAATTGAATCATATATATATGTACTATAATATATAGTGTAGTCCATACTAGCCGTCAAAGCGTACCTAGGGATGAACCCGAGCGAAGTGAGGGTGAGTCGCTGGTCTAATATAAGACAAATTATCAGTGAATTATAAAAGAAGAAAATCTCTTTATTATCATTCTGTATAGTCTATTACTTTCGATTGCGTTTTAAAATGTACATAAAATTAATTACAAAGTGCCTACCGAAATAAAATACTACTACGAAAATAAAACATTCAAATTATTTCCCCTGGACAATAAGTAATGTTTACATAAAAAAAATACTTACAAAAATATATCATTGCAATAATAAAAAATATATTTGTATGATATATTATTGAATGTTACAAATCAAATGATATTTCCTCGACCACCCTTTATAATTCATAAGTTATATACCGTTAATGAACCTGTCTGGGGTTCGGAAAGTCTGAAATGAGTTCAAGATAGGACACTGAAGAGTTATGGCGCGGTATAGTATTAGTATTATATTATCTGTGAAATCTAGTAACGTGATTATTTAAAACTATAAAAATTGCTTAAATATTTTTAAAATTAATACTTACCTATATTTTAAATCTAAATTATTTCCTAATATTAAAGGTATATTTATAATATTTAACATACATACATAAATATGCTAAGTATATATATATTATATATATATTCCCTTTTTATTTTTAAAACTACAAGTATTTTTTTATCCAAGACTAGTAGGTATCGACCATTGTTTTCGCTTTGAAACTCGTGTGTCTTTTGCATAAAACTGTTCCAAGGTTCACCGGAGACTTTAGTTATCCTGAAATATCAGCACAATAAAGCTGGTGTCACTCCCGAGCCCATATATATGTATGTATTATCTATATGCAAAAAATAAATTGAACCATTACTATATAAAAAAGGACAGACAGATATACCAACTAACAAACATTCGCATTTATAATAGTAAGGATAAGGGTAATGCAACTTCATTATTCAATCTTATAGGTGAGGGGACAGATAATACATTATCGATTAAGAGAGTCCGTCAAAATATTTAAAATAAAAATATATTTTCCTTATTTATTAATATTATAAAATAATTAAATAGCATTTGTAACGTATTTCAACATTATATCTTTAAGAGCACGATAAAGATATTAAAATTTGCATGATGCTGATTGATTAGTAACGGTCGATTTTAATTATTTGTAAGTCAAAAGTTATCCATAGGATAAAATCTTGATATATGCTTGTAAACAAAATATATTTAATATTGTACGTGTATAATATTTTATCTAATAGTTGAAAAATCAGTCGAAGAAGTCGGACTACCAAAAAAAATCTCAACAATAATTGCCCAATAACCTACTCTCTTAGATTTTTTATTAGTATACATACTTACCTGTACAGTGTATTGTTAATTTAATATACCTAATTAAGTTAATTTAACAAATATTAAATTTATTGTTTTATTTCCTGTAAGTATGGTAAACAACATGACTGGTGTAATACGTAAATTGTAGATAAATAACACTAATTAAGCTAAATATTCAGTGTAATATATAGAATGTTGAAAAAATTTAAAATATATTTAAGCTTTTTTAATTAAATCATAAAAAGTATTTATTAAATAAAAACTTATTTGACAAATATTTTAGATTTTCATATAAAGAAACCCATCGACACATTCACAACACTATCCCGGTTGCAACCAGGCTGACCGACATACAACGACCTCGGTAAAAGAGATAAAAATATACCAACCGCACTTATCAGAGAGAGACGGATGCTGTAAGTGGGTCATGGGATAAGAGGAACTTCAAGCAATGTTTCAGATTTAAAGCGCTGCAACGCTGAATTTCATGAAGTTGGGAGGCTGAAAATAGTGCTATAAATAGCCTCAGAGGTATGACATAATTAATCGTTTTGGTAATGTTTTTTAGCGGTTGTAAAATGATGCGTGAAATGTTTGCGATTCAATTTCTGCAATTAGCAAAGGTCTTTCTTTTTGCGCTTTAAAGGATAGGTTTTAAAGTGTTATGTCACAGCTTTTATGATAATTTTATAGGGTAAAAAACTAATTTATAATACTTATAGAGTTATTATTGATTTTTATCACATGAAATATATTTACTTGACGCTCAATATGAACGCATTTTCAAATTTCGTTTCATTTTTACATTACACTATGAGCTTCAGTATTTAATAAATAAAAATAATTAAGTATTAAAAGTGCTTCTGTATGTATTTTATATTTTCATTAATTTTATTTATTTTTGAAATGTAACATATTGCCAGAAATACAAAAGTCATTACAAGCCCTTAATCAAACGCTAAAGATAGCTCAAAATCTTTGTATCTACAGCCAGACACACCTCTGCTCCAGTTTATTGTACCTACGCGTATATCGTCTAGCGTACACAATACAATAAAGCGCTGAATGCGCTAACTTCGCCAACCGCGCATGCGTTCCCGGAGTACGATCGATGGTCCTCGCGTCCCGTTCAGTGATCGCGCGCTCGTCACCCAGTCCAGTGCACAATGCGTTCGAATTGACGCGGGAAACACGTCAAACTGTATCTCCGCGAGTACGCCGGCGATGAGGAGCGGCCGCCGTGCCGGGAGGAATGGCGTCGGCAGGAGTGGACGGGCACTAGAAGCCGCCTGCCCCAGGTGGACCGAAGCCCCTCCCGCCGCAGTCCGTACCTCGCGCGCGACGATGAGCCCTCCCCGGCGCCCGATGAACGCGGCCGGTCCGCCTCCGCCGGAGCACATCACCGCGCTAGACCCAGACCCCTACGCTATCAATCCCTGGAACGCGATTACGACCGATCCTACGCACCACCACCCCCGCCTGAAGATGATTATTACAGACGTGAACCACCCCTCTTCCTTGGAGAACTCCAGTCCCAGAACTCTGATCTTCAACGGGAACTGGGGAACCTCAAAAAGGAATTGGAACTGACGAATCAGAAGCTGGGCTCCAGTATGCACAGCATAAAGACGTTCTGGAGCCCGGAGTTAAAGAAGGAGAGGGCGTTAAGAAAGGAAGAGAGCGCTAAGTACAGCCTTATAAACGATCAACTAAAATTGCTCAACCAAGAAAATCAGGTCAGTTATCCTTTCTATTGATTTTCCGTTTCCGCATTTCTACTTTGAAATATGGCACTGAAATCGATTTTTATACAATTTCCTTGTTATTTTAAAGCTACTTTCTGTCAAGAATTTTCATTTTATCAAGTTTTAGACGTTCAAGACGTAACCAACGTTTCATTCTGATGACTACAGAGATAAAAACGTAGCGTAGTTATATTAATAAGTTTGATATTGGTGAGAAATCTTTTCCTACCGTCAAACCCAGCAACACCCACTAAGTTACAAATGCATAGTATTTGTGACCATTTCTACGCCTGCTCGCGCAGCCTACGCATGCTTGGAGTGGCCTTATTCATTGATGTTACAGTGATAGGTCAATGGGAGATCTCGAGATGTGCCACTTATAGAACGCCTTTTTGTCGTTTTTAGACGACGGAAATGGAGGCCATTTTTATATAATCTCATCATTTTATTGCCGCATTTATGAAAAATGTATAATTTAAGCATTTTTATACCTATATTAATTTTATTCTTTACATTATGATTTATGTACGGATGTAACAGATTTTTATTTTATTATATATTCATAATAAAAAATATTTATAATATAATATGTGAAACAAAAAATTACATGGCAAACTAGTCAAGCTTGATATAAAAAAGCTCCATTCCATATTTTTACAGAGACAGACAAAATAATCGATATATGCTATAAAGTATTTACACATAACGAAACAACAGAGGTCCTAAGTAAATAAATTAAAAGCATTACGTAACGGTAGAGATTAAAGAATTAGGTCACTTAGAATGGGCTTATATACCGAGGAAATTAATTTGTAACGGTTTACAGAATTTCATTTTTATTTGCCAAAATATGTATAATCTTTCATATCAATATATTTCTATTTCAATTCATCGATTTCGATCATATACTCTAAATTCGGGTACCTTTTTTTTATAAATATGTTGGGACATTACCACACAGCACTATCTAGTTCCGTGGTAAGCTACGAGGCTTGTGTTATGGATACCAGATAACCTTAAATACATACATATTGTATACATATAAACACCCATGACTGTAGTACAAACATTCGTGCTCATCACACAAATGAATGCCCCCAGCGGGATTCGAACCGGCGACCGCTGGCACAGCAAGTAGGGTCACTACAAACTGAGCCAAACGTGTCGTCAACCTTGAAACGACTGAAATAATTAATTAAATACTAGAATAAATAATTACTAACTAAAATATTTTTTTAAATAAATAAAATAACAGCGTATTTAAATCAAAAATATTTGTAATCTTTCCTTATATTATTTTAATTTTATTTTATTCTAATATTGATGTCTAAATGCTTTAAAAGCAGGGTTTAAGCAGAACGTACTCTTTAGTCCTTGTCTTCTATTCTGTTTGCACAAGTCTTTGAAATACAAAGTAGGTATAATATCAATTTTATGTAATCTAATTCCCACGAGGCAAATTATTACACACATTTACAATTTATAATGAACCAATACTTGACAATGTATACGTCTATATCATATTATCGTATCGCAATTCGACTCTGTAAATCTATACTAATATTATAAAGAGGTAAAGTTTGTGAGTTTGTGACGCTGTAGGGGGTAATCTCTGGATCTACTGAACCGATTTAGATGAAATTTGGCAAGAAGATAGTTTGAGACCTTGGGAAGGACATAGGATACTTTTTATCCCGGAAATCATCTTTTAAAGGGGTGAAAGTGGGGATGAAAGTTTCTATGTGGAAACAAGCTAGGGACTAACACGAGCGAAGCGAGGGTGAGTCGCTATGTATAATTACCGACCGACTATGTATAATTTACCTTCTCTGATGGTTTAAAATTATTGCTTGGTGTCTATGACTCTGATTTGGTAACTTATTAAATTTACTCTACTTTTTAATACTTTCGTATTTTACCCTTTTTTAACGTCCCACTGCTGGACACGGGCCTCGCTTTAGAACTTCCAATCCTTTCCAATGGAGATGAGGCCATAGTCCACCATGCTGGCCAAGTGTGAGTTGACGAACTTCACATGTCTTTCGAAAACTTGTTAGGTTCTCTCAGACATGTAGGTTTCCTCACGATATTTTACTTCACCTTCAGATAAGTGGTAATCATGTTGGAGATGATTCACACATAATATCCAAGATGCAAACCCAGGATTTGAATCCACTTCACTCGATTTCCCAAGCGAGCGCGTTATCGCGTTAGTGAGCTACCACTGTCTGCGTACCTATTAGCTATGTTTTTTTTTGTAATTTTAAGAGATTGTGTTTCTAGTGTTGCTAAGTTGATTGCTACTGTTTTTTTACATTGGTAGTTCTAACATTGGCACATTGAAGTTTTAAATTACACTTTGAAATATATACTTAAGCTAAGACACCGTATAAGTGTTAGCTATAATACCACCTCTGTTCAACTAAATAGTAAAAATCTACCATTTAAAGGCAATTAGAAACGCCAACATCGAATAGACAAATCTCTTTTTTGCGATTTACTTAGTAATAGCTCTTATATGAGCAACTCAAGCATCGAACCCACGACCCCAGGCTAAATAAGGGTACCAATTACGCAAACCAAAATTTTCGACATTTTAAAAAGAAAAGCTGGTTTTAATGAGTCTACATCACTGTACTGACTTTGCTCCGTTGCCGTAGAGCACTTAAAAAGGTCCTTCTTTTCAACACACGGCGTAACTTTTCCAATTTCATACTTTAGTGTTGGTTTAGTGCTTTATAAACAGTAATATTCTTTATAAAGCTTAAATTTTTCAAAGAATATTATATGAGATGTATCACATTAATCACATCATGCCAATATATAATATTATAAAGAGTTTTAGGTTAACTTTTCAGTTGTAAATTATGACTTTTAGAAAAACATTTCACGACAAATGTGCTTTATCTGTACAATTATCTGTCATGTTATTTGCAAAATAACAAGGAAATCAAAACTGATCCATTTACTTTTTGAAAGCCTTTGTAATATTACATCGCTGATATGTTGATGAGTTGAATATCTTCAAAACACATTTGACATACATTTTTTTAAATAAATATTTATATATATATTTAGTAAATAAATCAAATATATTTAAAAAAAAAGTTGGCCGTCACGGAGCGTCCGGCAGATGTGTTTCATCTATGTTAATGTTAGAGTTCATAATTAATAAAAACTTATAACGAAATATAGAATAAAATAAAGGAAAAATAGAGTGATGTTAATAAAATCAATTTATTTCTCTTATTATTTATTTATAATAACAATTATAGATTATATATATATTCATAAATAGAATAGAAAATATATAAATATTTTTAATAGAAACTGATTTACAATGAAGCTTGTAAAGTATAAGCGCGCACACAAGGTGTTGAGAGCGATGGCGTAGAAGGGACATGATGGCATGACAGCGTCATGCCGTTTGCCGTCACGGCATAGAGACTATTTTACTGCTAAGGCACGCCAATAGATGTTTCACATCAAAATATTACCAAACAAACTGTAATCATAAGTCAAATATAACAATATTCCATACAAAAATTTAGTTACGTAACATCAGTAGAAGGAAGCGGACCGACATGAGATAAAGGCCATTAAAACAATTTAAACTACGCCTTTGATACGGTACTTTGCTTTCGAACAATTGATTGGTGATATCTATAATTATGTAACAAATGTGTACCAAAGAAATTGTATCGCTTGAATAACCTAATGTCATAGGGAGAGCAAGGATATTTTAAAATAATATAATACGTTTGTGTAAAGTAAAAATTGAAACATATGATGTCCTCTTGACTGGTTCCGGCCACGGAGGCCAATCTTATTGAGACTAGCCAACTGCGCAGGAGATATTATAGTGCACAAGTGTACGCGCAGACACAAATGCACTCTCTATTTCTGTCACTTTCATACTCTGGTGGGACGACTGCTCGACACGACCGGTGAGAGTTAAGGCGCATGACCGACGGATTTACGTGCTCTCCGAGGCACGGGGGTGAAACACCCCTAACTTCCCAACTCCAGCTGTTACTGAGGCTTAATATACAGCAAGACTCAGTAACTAAACTTGGCCCGACGCGGCACTCGAACCCAGGACCTCCGGGTGTGCAGCCGTACATGCTAGCCACTACACCACCGAGGCAGTTATGATTAAAACAATAGTACACACAAATACAGTTTAAAAAAAATATTCTAATTTGATAGCACTTACACATAACAATATTGTGAAAGCAACATTAAATTGATTAGTTCTTTTTTCACGCAGAAGCTACTTTTTCGTATAGAGATAATTTAGAGAATGATATAGGATACTTTTTATCCCGCTTCATTAAGTTATCCTTGTGTAATTAGTAGTGGGTTAGTATTTTGCTCTAATAAGTATCTTAGGGTCGCCCCTTATAATTTAAAAGTTCTACATTCAAAGATAAAATAACAAATGATATATTTTCTAAGTTCATTAAATAATAAGGAAGTATTATGAACAATTATTATCTACGGTTGCAAAGTTAGAGGCGATCTATGAACACGATCTGTTTCTGACGTGCAATAAATTGCGAAAATAAATTTTCAATCCTTCTCGAAGATAGATAGCGTTTTAAATTCGTTTTGGATCTGACAATAATATGATTACAGTTTTAAATGTTAGAAAGCATTGAATTAAAATGTAAGCTTCTTTGCTTTTGTGTCATTTTATGATCAATAATGAGTAGGAAAAATGTTTTGTATGTAAAAAACTTATATAATAGGGCCAATTATTACAGATATTTATTTGTGTAGCGAAAGTTTTAGAGATACTTTTAATGTATCGGGCTATATCACTGTGAAGCTATAATAAACTATCTTTATGCGAAAACTAGCATTGCCCGCGGTCCCGCCCGCGTTCAGATGACCACAAACCAAATTCTTAGGTTTTACATATCAGTATACTCTTACAATGCAGTTTTTGTATTTTTTCTCAGAAATGAGATATTTTCCCGCGGTAAAAT